AAGTACGGTAAAGGGAGGGTCTCTGGAAAATGTCCACCAGTCTTCTCAAACTAATCCTGCTCGAAGGACCATTTTTCTTTCCTTTATTGAGTCACTAACGTGTCTATGACAAACTTTGTCATTAACTTTTTTTGGTTGCTATGCGATGGCTACGAACCTTTGAGAAGAACTACAGCTATCATTTCGCAATAATATCATGATGAAATAATCCGTTTTTTTAGCTCTTAATGGGACCCCTCTTCTCAAAGAAAATCAAGTCTAGGGAAAAATTTCGCTGAATTTATAACTCTGTACAAATTTCGTGACTACTTTCTTCCTGGTAATGGCTGGGTAGTATTTTTCTTGATTATTGTATTTTGCTTTATGATACAGACCGTTTTGTAAGTTCGGGAATCCCTGTCGTTCGTACCCCTGCTTAACTGCTCCCCGTGCTCATTTTGTAGTCAAAAATAAAGGACGCTCGATAGCTCTAACTGAGCTCGGAAACGAGTTAGCTTTAAATAACCCTAATTACCTTTTTCTTGAATTGGAAGCAGCGCACAGCTGCTGTAACTAATGAAGATACATTGCAATGCCTTGAAATGTATGTAGCAGCTCAGACGTTTCAGCCAAAACTGCTGAAAGGATTTGTTGAAGAATTGAAAAATCCGTTTCACTTCCGAGCAAACAAAGCGAATTAGTTCTTTTTTCTTGCTATAGAAACCCAAGGAAGTACCAGCATGTAGACTGATTTGTGTTTGGCCGTTTATCAAAGGCCTTTTATTTTGTGATTGGCTCTGGTTGTGTTAGAAAAAATCTTGCGAAAAACAATCGGAAACGACTGGAAGGAAAATTAAAAGCTGATTTTGGTTGTGGCAGACAAAATACAGTCGAAGTTCTCGTAAGCGACCACCTGGGAAATTCGATAAAAGTGATCGTAAGCGAGCGCATGGTAAAACAATAGAGGGTGGTCTCTTACGAGAGCTTCAGAAAATCGTTGATTATTCATGAAGAAGAAACTAAAGAAATTAATGTTGTATGAGAGTCTTGATATAGACGTACGGCTAAATGGATGGAGTGAATATTCCGCTATTTTTAAAAGCTCTTAATATTTTCGGAATAAACGCCTTTCTCTTTAAAAACACCTCCTATCTCAGTGATTAAACACCCCCGCTTGGACCCCTAAAATTAAATAGACGCCCCGGGCGTTTATCAATGTCAAAGAAACGACCTTTTGCAATTATTGGATATCCTGCATTCCCTATTGGATAAAATTTACCAGGATGAATTACGTTCTGAGCATATTTTTACATGCGCCAGTTTCCCCAAAATAGACCCTCCCCTGACTAGTTCACAACTTTTGACTGGGATCTGCTGGGACTAGTTAGAGAAAATCCGTCAGCACGAATATAAAGAGTTAGTAAAAGTACCAAGTTTGAACATGATTTAATGAAAGCTAACGGAGATATGGCACCACAAAGTCGTCGAATCATACAAACCTTGTGCGGTCTTTGCAGTTGTAGGGGTCTAGGGGAGAGGGGTACCGGCGAGTTTGTGGCCCCCACACTGCAAAATTTCGCCACGTTGTGAGGCAATATCTTCGCTCGCATTTAACGTATGACCAATTTTGGTAAGTTTTCTAATTTTAAGGCGCTCATTCCTGCAATGTTAATGGCCCAGGGGTGGTACTCGGGATTTCAAGTGACGGGGATGATCGAAGGATTTTTTTGGGTTTGAAATTTTCGATTCCGGGATTTTTTTGGGTACGAAAAGTTGGCAAGTATTTTTTTGGGTAGCTTGATTTGAGTAGGGATTTTTTGGGAATAAAGTACAAACAAACGTGTTTTGCTGTTGTTTAATAGTTAACTATGGTGTCGCTTTACATCGCACGTGTTAGGCATGGGATTTTTGGGGGGTTAATTTTTGGTCCAGGGATTTTTTTGGGTTTTGCTGGAGGCCCTAGGGATTTTTTTGGGTCTTGACTTTTTGCTCCATTCGATCATCCCCGTCACTTGAAATCCCGAGTACCCCACCTGGGGTTAATGGATATTCGCCGACTGGTCTTGATGAAAACCGTGGAAGGTTGGCTCGAAACAGCGAGCAACCTGGACCCAACGGCCCAAGTCCTTTTCCTGCCACAAAAGAAGGCGTGGTTACAAAAATGGCGGAAAATTGGAGAGTTCCAACTTCGATTCGTATCAACGCATGATAAATCAACTATTTTTTCTGGAGATTCTGGGTGCACGGCGCTGTAATTATGTGCGCAAAAAACCGGATCTTCCTCTTGAAGCGATCTAATCATCTGAATAACCTCGTTCGAAGGCATTATTCAAGTGCGACGTGTAATCGGAGGGTTGTGGTGACTGGACTAGGTATTTGAGGCTTAATTATAAATGTCCACGCCTTAATTTCCCTATTTTCCTGTTATTTTCTCGATCCCAGTGTGAAATGCTTTTCCTACGGTAGGATTTAAAGACGGGATTTCAATAGCAAGGGGAATAATCAGGCCCGACCGGGGTGGGGGGATATACCAACATACCCATATTTTTTCCTAGTAAGATACCAGTATGCCTTAAAATTGTAAACTCTTTGATACCGAATACTTAAAATTGCCTTGAAACAGAATACCATGCCGTAACCTTCTGGTTATAAGCCCTAGGCATATGAAACTTTGTAAGCTGTTTTAGGAGAGATAAATGGGGGTGAATACATATCTTTACTTTAACAAAAACAAAAATTCTGCGTTTTTTGTCTATTTTGGCCCAAGGGAAAGCTGTGTATCCAGCCTGAAGAGTCTTTTAGACCCAGAGAGTTGATTTCATCACCATACTGATAAAAAAGGAGATTTAAACAAGTCACCTGTGGAAAAATGATTTGAGACATGGGTTAGGGTTTTTTTTGGAACTGAAAAAGTTTCAAGCTATGTCTCTGAGTGACAAATGTTCATTCAACAACAATACTGTCAACTCTCTTTAAGACGGACACCTTGAGGACTGGTCAAGTGTCCTCTTTTAAGACGGAGGCACCTTTGGGACTGAAAGGCAGCCCTGTCCTCAACAAATTTCTTTACGGAGAGGCTCCACCCTGAGGTCTAACCCTTTACCCTTTTATATACCATTTTTCACAAAAAGGTACCCCTTCTATGTACCCTCTATTGACAAATGGTACCCCTTTCACATACCTCATTTAGACCTTTGCTCCCTTTTAACTGCTGTAAAGGCACTGTCCTTCAAATAGGAATTAATCACAAGAATGTTTTCTCTACTTTATAAAGCCATAAAATTCATCTGTTCGGTCCTTTGGGCCCTTTCACAGACCCAAATGACAGATTTCGCTACCATTTTATATACTTCAATGAGTAAAATCCTTACCCTTTCATATTCCTGAAAAAGGTACCCCTTTTTCATATAGGCCATTCTACCGCCAGGAAACACAAATAATGTGTCCATTAAGAGAGGGTTTAGCTGGAGGGCAAACATTGAATTGAACTTCACTTGGTCTGGTTTGTCCAATATAGGTCTGGTTACTCCACTAGGAGTTGGTACAGAAAGAGTTTGGAATAATTTACTAGAAGGAAAGTGTGGAATAACACAGATAAACAGTGAAGGTATTAACTAGCTTTTGCGTCATGGTGTTTGAACCTTATAATGGCTGCGGTTGTATTTCTCAATGACATTTGAGAGCAAATGTTTCACATGTACTCTTCTTTCTTCCAAAAGATTACAAAGGGATTCCGGCAAAAATAGGTAAGAATTTATCTTCTTAAGCCCTTATTATGACCATTGTGTAATTTCTCCTGTTAATTATTAAAAAAGTTACAATAGAATAAAGGAAAACAATGATCTCCAAAGATATAACATTTAATATTTCTAACAAATTCTTCTTACGAGTTACCCAACAAAACCACGAGTAATGTATGCAGAGCATTGTTCAGGTGTAGATTTTAATATTGCGAGTGACAAGAGGAGCCGGCAATCCTAATCTGCAGATTTTTATTACACATCTGTTGCATGTATGAAGCCAGCATTTGTTTGGACTTCCTCTAAGAATGAATGGAGCACATAAAACGCAATTTCATTACCCGCGTTTGGACCTGCTATCACAAGTAATCTGTTCAAGCGTGTTTTGACTATTTGTCACATGAAACTCTGCAAAGCCCGGTGATGGAGCAAAATTAAAGAGTTTTGATCTTTGATCCTTATCGCCCACACTCTATGGCTATGGCCTTTAGCTATTACTAGTTATTGAATGTGTTAATGTTGTAGCCAGCATTGTAGAAACAAGGGGTAGGGGAACATGGTTTAATTAACGGTGGTACTATAAGCAAGAGGACTATGCTTGTATTACTTGTAGTACTATCACGCTGTGTCCATCCATAGTTGGATGTAGCCAAGCATTCCTTTGTATACCATCCCAAAGGGGGGATACTCTAGATTTCAAGTGACAGGGCTGATTGAAGGATTTTTGGGGGGTTTGAAATTTTTGATTCCTGAAATTTTTTGGGGTAGGAAAATTTCGGAAGTATTTTTTTGGGTTGCTTGATTTAAGTAGGGATATTTTTTGGATATTCAAAACAATCTGAAGATTTGTGTTGAAAAATTCAAGATGAATTTTTTGGGGGTTAGTTTTTGGTCCAGGGATGTTTTGGGGTTTTGTCGGAAGCCCTGGGGAGTTTTGGAGGGTTTTGATTTTTCCCCCATTCGATCATCCCCATCACCTGTATCCAGAGTACCCCCCCTCCCCCTGGGCTTACCATGACCAAGCTGAACTGCATATTACCTCTGCCACAAATTCATTGCAACTTTGTGTTAATGCTCTCCCTCTCTATCCACTTCTTTTCCTCCTAAAGTCATTATTAAGTACATCTTTCATTAATGTCCAGCTATAATGTTGTTGGATTGTACTCTACAGTAATCCTTTTTTATGAACATTCTATTCTGTCATGTAAATGATCAGAGTTCAAACCATTGTATAACAATTTTTAGGAAAAAATAATAAATGCCAATTTTTTTAACAGTTGTTTGAGAGCTGTTTCATCCTTTTCAGCGGCATTTGTCCCTCGAGGCGAAAATATGGGAGAGTTTGACGAGAAGTATTGGCAGCAAAAGCTCAGAGTGGTAATCTATGTTGTTACTCAATAAATTAATGCTTTATTTTTTTATGTAAAACTTTTCAATTTCTGAACCTTCATTGATGATAACTCAATAATTATATAATAGTTACATTGTGATTTAGTCTGTTTATACCATTTTCTGATGCAGGATATGAGAAGCACTACAACTGAAGGCCTATTTGCTGTTGTGGCTGCTAATCAGGCCCTTGAAGATTGCAGTTGGAGACCAACCAATCAGGACCAGAAAGAGAGGGCTGTATGTAATTGCAATTTTTGTAATTTGTTTACCCATGAAGCAGTTGGGAGTTCTTAACTTGTTTAAACATGTCCAATGATTTGTTCCAATCAAATTGGAATTTGGAAGTCTTGGTTTTTTAGGAGAGGGGAAAACTGAAGAACCCACAAAAAAACCTCTCATAGCAAAGGAGAATGTCAACAACAAACTCTACCTACATATGATGTGCGGTTGATGCCAGGACTGAAACCTGAGACACATACAGCTGTAGGTTGGGGGGCGAGTGCTCTTGCTAATGTGCCACCCCCTCTTCCCGTACCATGTGTTTCAGAGGAGTAATGTTTTTCCCTAATATATCAAATGCTGGCAGGATCAGCTTAGCCAAACAGAAGTTACCTTGGAATATGGGGATTGCTTATAATCAAAGTCGTTCAATGAGGTGTGTAACAAAGTCCCCATTCGGCATATTAAATCCTGTTGTGAGACCATTTTGTATTAGTATGTTTTCACGATGCTATTGGTTTTTCGATCATAAATTATTATTTAACAAGGGAAATATTTTAGATGTTATATCAGGGTGTTCATTAGGCGTTGGAGATCGGAGAATTCTCTGTTTACTACACAGAATTCTCCAGCTAAGTGCGATAGCCTATGACTATTTTTCTTTCTTTTCATAATATTCTCTTGTAACATTACACCTTTCTCCTGCTACTAAAATTCTTATTGAAAACCCTGTTATATGATTCTGATTTTAATTTGGGCAATCTTAAAAGTTCCTGGAGAATGGTGAAGCAGCTATTGGAGGCAGACGAGTAAGGCTTTTACTACATATAACAATGATAATATGAATATAACTGTTTTGTTTCAGGGTGTGTCTGTCGGCATGGGAATGACTGGGATGAAGGATACATTGCTGGCTGGAGATGCACTGGACAAACAGGTGAGTGAAATTGTTCAAAACCAACTTTAACAGTAGCTTAATAATCATCCTGTCTGTTGAAAAATTCAGTAACCATCATGGTGTAGCATGGATATAGCCAATGTAGCTTCTAGTAACAAAATGCTGTTATTGACACACCATGATTTGGTTAGCCGGTTATGTCCCAATAGTGATCAATATCAATTTTCTCCTAAATGATATCAATCAAGAGAAAAGTTCATGAGAAGAAATAAAATTTCTACCAAGGGGAAAGTACTTTAATAGCTCAGTTTCGAATTTGTTGCAGCTGATGAATAGAAGAATAGAAGGGTTAGCCTTGACCTAAAGTAAAATATTCACAAATACCAGCAAAAAGGTGCTTAAATTTGAGAACAAAACGTAGACACAGTTGTGCACAGGTCTTATACTGACTGGAATTTGTGAATATATTTACCTTAGGTTAAGGCTAACCCTAAATAAATGAGCCCTCAGTGATTCTATTCAGCGGTGGTAACAAATTCAAAACTGGACGATTGTTCTTTATCAAATTCTTTAAACTTATTCAGTAAGGAAATGTCTGGACCGCAATTCATTAAGAAATGTTTGCAGACTAGCAGTCTGGAGAATTTGTATGTGAGTGTTGAAGCTTAAAGGGCTTAGAGGCGAAAATGAAAAAAGGCACAACTCAGTGATTTTAGTCCTGAAGAAGCCATTCACTTGACTCCAAAGTACTATTGTAGAGAAAAAAAATTAAATTTAATTAAATTTGGGTAGAACAATCCAACCTTATTGTGACTTGTAGTGTACTGTAGCTAGGGGTGTCAGAGTAGGCTTCAGTGATTCCCATTACTTTTTATAGACTGACCACAAGAAAATAGTCCTAGTGTTTGCACAAAACGTTAAGGCTCGGAATCCCAGATTTGGTAGTATCAGAATTTGGGAGTCAATCTTACCATTTTTATTTAGAGCTGACAACCTCTGTAGACAATGAATATCAATACCATCTGGCTACCCACTTATAGTATTTGTTAGCATGCGCTAAACAGCATCTGTCCTCTGTTCTTTTTTTAGGGATACAGGAGAGTAAATACATTTTTTGTGCCCAGAGTTCTCCTGAACATGCCAGCAGGGGTTATCAGCATGACTTTTGGGCTTCAGGTTGGTAAAATAGTTTTAGTTACAGCGGTGCAACCCTGTGACATTAGAGTCTGGTTCATTAAATCAATTTAAACGCATTCTCTTTCATAATGTTTAAAAACACGGCATTCAGGGGAATCAGGTTTTTAAGTGGCATATAGTTGTAAGTTAATATAATGTTAGGATTAGGATTTTTAGGTTTTCGGATGTTAGTCATTGTATTGGAATTTATTGTACCTGATGAATTTTTTACTGTGTATACAGGTAAGTAATGATTAAAGAATTAAGATGAAAGATTTTCTTTTTTCTAGCTCTTTTTTAATCCGAATAGCATAGATCATGAATGAAACAGTTATCCAGAAATGTTTAACTTTTCGCAGTTATGTTCCCCCGAGAACATGTTCGTCAACAGAAATGCAGCTGATTCTGCTTATTATCATCATCATAGTTATAGCTTTGTCAGTAAAATTTGAATAAGTAGGGCAAATAAATCGATTTTGAGATCACGTTTACACCAAACAGCGATAAAAAAAATCAAAGTTGACGATTTTCAAATTAGGAAAGAACATTTAAAAAGTGTATAAAAGTTCTCTAAATTAGCATAATAAGTTAAAAACAAGTTATAATAGATAAAAATGTGGTGAACGCTAAAATGTGATAAAATATGTAAAATAATTAAAAGACTGCAAACTAATTTTTATGAATAAAAATGCTACTGATACAATTTTTTTGTAGACATAATGAGCAGTAAACTTTACTTAGTTTACTATGCCGTACAAAAGGTGGTTCTAACTTTTGAGGACATTTCATGGGGTCATACATGAACCACTGACCCTGCACAAGGTGGTTCTAACTTTTTAGTCTGTGTATGAAATCCTGAAGTGTGACCATTCAAATGAAAGCTACTGAGCAGTACTTTCTTGTGGTACTGTTTATCATGCTGTACAAGGTGGTTGCAACTTTTGAGTCTGTGAATGAAGTGTAACCATTCACATGTAAGCCACTGAGCAGTACTTTTATGTGGTGCTAGTCTAAAATGTCAGCCGTCTCCACTACCTAACCCGTGCAAAATTTGTCTACTAATTCTAATCTTAGGGGCCAAACCACGCGGTGTCCACCGCTTGTGCCGCCAGTGCGCATGCTATTGGAGATGCTTTTAGAATGATACGTTATGGTGATGCTGATCTCATGGTGGCTGGAGGTGTTGAAGCATGCATTATGCCACTTTCAGTGGCGGGCTTTTGCAAGTAAGAAAATTCCTGGGTTGTAGGCGTTGTTATATTACTGTGCCGTTGGGACTGGGCCGATGCTAATGGTCGAAATGGACTATGGGACTGTTTTGTGGGTGGATTTTTTACCCCGTTTTCTTTCCACCCTCAGTACGACGGCGACGACGATGGAAACGAGATAGTTTAAAAAGCAATAGGTGTAATGAACAAAATCAGTCGAATCTCTGCTAACGGCCACCTCTCCACAACGACTAGCCTGCGTAGCAAGCGTTTCGTGCGGTTTAGGAGCAAAGAACGAGGAACGGGAGTCAAAGACCGCGCGAAAAATGGCGTAAGTAAAAGAGCGGGGAGGGGGTGGGGAAGAAAGTTTCCTTCCTTCCCCTCCCCCTCCCCCACTTTCATTGTTTGGTTCTTGTTTCATTTCTCGCGCGGCCAAAACCGAGAACCCGTTCCTCGGTCTTTCTTTGCTGCGGAACCAAACGGAAACGCTTGCTACGAAGGCTACACAACGACCAGTTTTTTTTGTCCCGGCGGGCAGTCCATACATTGACTCGTCTTTAAACCTCTCTACAACGGCAACGACCACTAAAGCATGTCCCCAACTACCTAAAGTAACCTCTCAACGACGGCCAGTTTTTTTCAGCAATTGATAAAAAGTCAAGAATGGTCATGACATTTGATGCGTATGGAATGACTAATCGCGGCAGTTGTATTTTGACTGTACTCCATTTATACTCAGACTGCAGTAAGCATAAATTGTCTACGATACTTACAGCGAATGCTGCAAACCTTGCTCGTTTTGTCACATCCAGACATTTTGATTCAAAAAAATTGCTCGTTTTTTTGTGTATTTTATCTCTACGATGGTTTTTATATGATTGGATAACCATTATGGAATTTAGTAAGCATGAAATTAGCACAATAAATATGTTGTACTCTCTAAAAAAATCTGCCATATTACACCCCTACCTCTTAATAACGGACACCTTTCCACAACGGCTACTTTCTTCTTTTCCCAAGGGGGCTGTTGTGGAAATGTTCGACTGTAACAATGCATGAACTACAACGCTTTTCTGTCAGTTTCTCTGCTATCCCTGCACAACTTCGACGTGAAAATCCCTTTCGTACGTCATCAGAAGGCGATAAATTTTACTGTATCTATCTGAGCTTGGACGCGGTCCTCTCTCTTCAGCTTCAGCTTCAGCTTAATTTTCTAACTATGTAAGACTGAACGAATTGGAACTAATCATGAAAAAGACGTAGAGCCAGTTTTTCAGTGACGTTGTCAGATCGTAAGGTCCCTAATAGCCTATGTGACAGGGGTTCGAAATGGAAGGGGAAGGGAATTCGCGCCCGTGAGGGAGAAGAAAAGAGGGGAACGCCTTCCACGCGGCTGGTCCCCAGTAATCTCGTACCCAAATGTTCCACGGCCGAGGGAAAGACGTTAGACATTGAGATCTGGGTACGAGATAAGATCGCCAGGAAAGAGGTAATAGCAGTTCGTCAAGACACCGGCTCAGTCTCCCACTCAACCTCAAAATGACCAATAGCGTTTTTATTTCCTTAACCAGAATGCGAGCACTGACCACCAAGTTCAATGATCGTCCTGAAGAGTCATCGCGGCCGTTTGATAGCCAGAGGTCTGGGTTTGTGATGGGAGAGGGAGCGGGGATCATGATTTTAGAGGTACGCTGTAGATGAAAGTTAGTGGTTCCAGTGCCATACACTGCAATGAAAAAATTAAATAAACTGCATTTTAACCATCAAAGAAGAAAATAAATCAAGGAACTAACAAAGGGAACCTCCTATTTTGAAAAATTCAGTGAAATGTAAGATTTTATCTAAGTATCCAGCTCTATTTTTTTTTGCAAACGTTCTGTTTGTAGTCCGTGACAACCTCCTTTTGCTTAATTAGTTTTCCTGTAGCTGCTGAGATTTGAAGCTGTATAATTGCTGTCAAATGAAAAGGTAGTGCTTAACTAGTAAGAGTAAGTCAACCCTCCACAATGTTCACTGGTTTTTTTTTTTTTGTTACCTTAGGAATACGAACACGCGATTACTCGTGGTGCAAAAGTGTACGCGGAACTTCTGGGGTATGGACTTTCAGGTTGGAGTTATTTTGTTTGCAATCAATAAGCTGTTGTTATATAGCCATACTTTTTACTTTTAAATGAAGAGAACAATCGTAAGTTGTTTTGTTCTATTAATTTGTCGTAAACATTCTTCTTCGTTTAGTGTTGTTACGCAATCCTATCAGCAGCGGGTCGTAAGCATTTAGGTATTTAGTATCGAAAGTATAACTAACCTTGGGTCTCTGAGGATGTGTAAAAACAGTGTGTAAAATTTTAGTTTATGTCGTGTTGCGTTTAATACCCATGACGCACAGTACGTTTCGGTTAACCCTTTAAACCCTTAGAGTGATCAGCATCAAATTTCTCCTTGTAAAATCAATGCTTTGTAAAACAGAGTGGTCATGAGAATTACGGGCATGATCACACGAGATGAACTTGTCTGATATTTTATCAACTTCTCCCCACGACTTCTGTAGGAAATGAATAGGGGCAGCAAATGAGAATTCAAATTTTGATCTTAAGGTTTAACTTGTTAAGCACTTCCTACTGTTTACTTGTATCTGTACAGGAGACGCGTATCACATCACGGCCCCATCAGAGGGAGGGTACGGGGCGTATCTGGCCATGAAGAATGCACTCAGAGACGCTCGTCTCGAACCACAAGACATCCACTATATCAACGCACACGCTACATCTACTCCACTTGGTAGGGCTCGTTCACTGGTCTTTTTTATACTAATTTATTATGAATCAAATTCCAATGGACAAAGATAAACCTACCCAAGACTTTTGACCGCAGTGAATCTAATCTAGCTTTTGTCGAGAGCCAATGTCAAGATCGCTAGCTCCCCCTCCCCAAAACACTGTCGTGAGATGTTGTGACGTCCGTTGCCAGCCCTCGCTCGGACCACGTGACCCGAAACACATAGGCCGCGCGGAATAATAAGGCCAAGGGACTATGCAACATTGGTCGGCGAGGACATATTCGGCAAAAGGTAATAACTTTTCCAAAACCTTAACTAACATGTTATTAAATTCAGGCCAGCAGCATAGATTTCTTCCTCTTTTTTTAATTTCCAGGAGACGCTGGAGAAAACAATGCAATAAAAACGTTGCTTGGAAGCCATTCCAGAAATGTTCAAGTTTCTTCCACTAAAGGTAACTTTCTTTTGGCTTTGATTTTTAAGCCGTAAGGGCCAGTTTAAACGGAAATTGTTGAGAAACTAACCTGTTATATGCCCTTAGTTAGCTGGGACGAACCAAAGTAAAAGCAAAAAAGACGAAAAAGGAGAAGAAGATAGAAAAAGAAGACAGAAAAACAAACAAATAAACAAAAAAGAAAGAAAGAAGAAAACGGTCGAGGACTGGGGAGAGAAGGGGTGGTTTCTCACCCCATTCCTTGCCAATATTCCTAGCCATTCCGTGCCAAAATTTGTACGATAATGTGTATTTAGCCCTGTTTGGTTAAAATTGTTTTTTTTGTCTGATTCAGTTGATTGGTTCGACGCGTCCTAAGTTCGACGTCTGACCCAACAGACGAACTTAATTTAGGTCGACCCAAATGAGAGTTTGGTTCGTCTCATGAAAAGTTCAACGTTTGGCCTAGGCCTAACTTCCTCTTAAACGGCGCAAATTACAGCACTACTGGCGCTTGTGTTCTCTTTATTTTCTAGGGGCCATTGGTCACCTGTTAGGTGCAGCTGGTGCGGTGGAAGCTATTTTTACCGTCTTAACTGTTGCCCAAGTGAGATTTCTTAGACTTGCATTCATTGCTTACCATTAGTGCAATTACCATACGATTGCTAAGCTCTTCCCTCTATGTTGTATGCCCGTTTTGGGCATCGGTTGGTCATGGTGACCTCTCTGGTCCCCAACATATAGCTGTTATTTTGTCATTCACAAGTAATTTCTCAAGTTTTATTTCGAATGAAGACACATTACTGGCATTATAAACAAAACGAAGTAGCTAACCGTGATAGAGTCCCTTTAAATCCCATTCAGTGCCTCATTCGATGCCTGTGTGTACCTTTGCATAGTTTGATTATCCCTTGAATGCTTATTCTTTGTATTTTCCTTTCGTTTTCAATTCTTAGGGTGTGGTCCCGCCCACATTGAACTTGCATAGCGTAGACTCAGAGGAAGACTTTGACATGAACTACGTGCCGCTGACGTCTCAGCCGTTTCTTGGTCCTGAACCGAGAACAGCACTGACTAACTCGTTTGGTTTCGGTGGCACCAACGCTTCTTTGTGTTTTCGACAGTTTGTCGCCGCGCCCTAAGTTCACAGTGGGGTAATGAGTGCGGACAGTGGAAAGTGAAACGCGCGATACATCTCCGTATCTTGCGCCCTGATGTGGAGTCTGCCAGATCAATACAAACTTTTGTGAAGGCTGTACCGTCTCCGGTGACCAGGTTTGGTTGTACTAAGACCTCCACGAACCAGGGAATTTTTTGTCGCGCGATCTTTTGTCGCGGCACTATGCGTACTTCCTAGATGGCGTCATGTTGAATTGGAAGAGTGAGCTTGTCTCATGGTCGTATCATTGACTCCTATTTGCAGATCCGTCGCACATCTCTCACACGCTAGGACACAATATGTTTGAATCAGAATGTTCTATCCACTCAAGCGAAAGAAAAATCTTCTGTGACTTTTGTAGCTAACCACCACAGACGAAGGGACGAGTACGGGGTGATATTTTCGCGCGACGAAAAGTTGCCTAGTCGTTGTAATGACCTTAAAGACGAACAGCCCACACTAAGACGCACGTTTTATAGTTGAACTCGAAAATCGAAATGAACAAAAAGAAAACAAGATTCCTGCGTCCCCATCCAGATCGGAAGTCTTTAACTTACCCTCACACGACAAGCTCAAGACAGCTGGCCGTGAAGTATTGTAAAATTGTCGCAGGCGGGAAATTCGCGAAGGGTCTTTGACTACTCCGTGATCGTTTGCGCTTTGTAACTTTTAAAATGCTTTTAAGATTTGTTTGATCTTAAATATACCTGTAGGTTGAGAAGTACTATGATGAATATTCACATGTAGAGCTAAATTAAACGTAGTCCTACCTTCGTCTTGTGTATGGCCGCTCTTGAAGCTAGAAGCCGCCACCGCATTTAAGCGTTCCAAGGTTTTCTAAAAGTTTTGAAATGATGAATAGTTGCGTGTAGCCAAATGTATAATTTTGAATGAGTAGAAATGCAGTCTTCAGTAAAGAATTTCGTTTTAGTTTTTATTTGCAAATATTTTTCTTCTTACCAAATTCCTTACGACAAGTGCTGAAGTAATAAATTTAAATATGCTGTTGCCACTAATGTTAACGGCGAGATAATAAAACTCTATCAAATAAACAAAAAATAAATGAATAAAAAATAAATACTTAAATAAATATGTCGTTAAATAAATGAATTAATTATTGAATGCTCAAGTGCCGTCTATAACCGAATTTTGGCAGACTGGGGGAGCTTAACATTTACACAAACCACCCGGATGGAAATTTTGTAGAGATACATTTAATTATCCCTATTTGTAATAACTCGTTATTCATAGTGTAACAAATAACTAGCATATAACGTAATTTTAAATTATTTGGAAAACGGTTGATGTAGCAGTTGGTATAATACCGCAAATAAAATATTGTCTAATGTCAGGCTCCTATCTAGGATATTTGAGGGGTAGAAGCTTCCCCCCCAAAATGCCTAGCTTCCCCTCAAACAATGTTATCATTACAATATATAAGTAACTATATCGGAAAAATCATCCAGACGCGACGAGGTCAGTAAGTATTCCCTGTCTAAGGACACTCTATGACAAGGAACATGATCACGACTAAAAAATAAAATGAAATACCACTGTATCATTTCCCAAAATTGTGTCTCAAAATGCACCAGATTTCATCTCGGCGCGTATTCATTTCAAAAAATTTCCGGTGGTCATGCCCACGGTTCCCGCTAGGAAACTCGTGGCCTTCGGCCACTCGGGACTAATCTCCCCCAAACGATATATCCTAGATAGAACCCTGAATGTCTATTGTCTATATACTTTCGACTCTCCCTTAGCGGACACTTCTAGTATAAGAAGGCCACCTCTGTAAAACGGACACCTAGAGTCGGTCCCCGCCTTTCTTTGCTCCTTTTATTGGCCTCTCTACAAGATGGACACCCCTGTAAAACAGACACCTAGAGTAGGACCCTGCCTTTCTTTACTCCTTTTATTTGACTCTGTATAAGACGGACACCTCTGTAAAACGGACACCTAGAGTCGGTCCCTGCCTTTCGTTACTCTCTTTATTTGACTCTCTATAAGACGGACATCTTTCTAAGACGGACACTTAGTAACGGTACAAATGGTAACCGTCTTAGAGAAAGTTGATTGTACTGAACTTTTTCGTGTTCCTTTTTCAGTGAAGTATGTAGCCTCCAACGCAGGCGTTTTTAGGGTAGCTCATATTGGATCAATTTAGGTTTCTGGGAAACTGACCACCCACCCTTTCCCTAAGTCAACATTATCACTTACTTCTCACTACATAGATGTTTCCGTAAACGGAAAACAGCTCAGTAATGTGGATTGTGCTACCTTATTAGGCGTAGAAATTGACAGTAAATTGTCGTTTGATGAACATATTGAGAAAGTATGTAAAAAGTTGGCCTCTAGAATCGCAATACTGCGTAGGATTCGAGCCTGTCTACCTCTTAAACAGCGACTTCAGTTTTATAATAGCATTATTCGCCCTGTTATGTCTTACGCTAACGTTGTTTGGGCAAATTGCGATAAAGAGTCGGTTTATAGGGTCTTAAGATTGCAAAAACGTGCGGCACGCGTTATTTCTTGTGCCGATCGCATGACACCATCAGTTGCTTTGTTTAACAAGCTAGGTTGGATTCCGTTTTATGAGCAAAATAAGATAGATAAATGCATAATAATGTATAAGCGAATTAATGGGTATTTGCCGAATTATCTGAATGAACACTTAATTTTGAATAATAAGCGGCACTCCCGCAACACTAGATATTCAAGCATTAATGCTGTTTGTCCTAAATATAGAAGAGAAACTGAGGGAGGACGCTCTTTCGCTGTTTCGGCAACAAGACTGTGGAATAGTACACCAATTGAAATTAGGAAACTAGATTCTGTAGCATGTTTTAAAAAGAACATGTTTGCCAAGATTTTTAAGGAACAACAATGTTTGCGTCATTTTATCATTTGATGATTTTTTATTTTTTATAAAAATCGAATCCTGTTTTATTTTAATTGTTTATATATTTTAGCTAACAATGTTTTATTAGACTGTAAATAGTTGAGTATTTTATGAGGGCCACAAGTTTATTAGCCTTTGGCTATTAAGTGCTACCCTCTTTAAATAAACGCTTTATTATTATTATTATTATTATTATTATTATTATTATTATTATTATTATTGTTATTATTATTATTATAGGGAAAAATGTTGCCTTAGGGGAGAGGTAGGTGGCCAGTTTCCCAGAAACCCTAGTATTTCGTCCCTCCCCACATAGGAGGGGAGGGACGAAATACGCCTGCGTGGGAGGCCACGAAGTATTCCAAAGGGTTGCTTCTCTGCTCCAGTGACGAGCGCGGAGTGGCTTTTCAACCTCTTTTAAGTAACCTACCGAGAAGCCCCTCATTTTCCTAGGGAAAAGTAGAACAAGCGAAATGAATGATAACTAATACGTAACGAATAAATAGATTAAAATAACTAACGATTTAGAAGAAGCACATCCACAGATCTTCAGTTGAATTTGTATTTCCCCTGTTCGCATTATCTTCATTCCATAAATAAATATAGTATCATAATTAATATTTAGCAGTAGCACATGCCAAGATCATCAATTCAATTTGTATTACCCCTGTTCACATAATCTTCACTGTATGAATAAATAAATTGTCATAATTAAGGATTTAGTAGTAGCGCATCCTCATATCTTCAATTCAATTTGTATTTCCGCAGTTCACAGTATCCTCATTCCATAAATAAATATATCAACACAATTAACGATTTATCAGTAGCACATCCACCGATCTTTAATTTAAAAAAGTTTGTATTTGCGCAGTTCACATCATCTTGATTTTATTATTACATCATGAAGTTTTATGCGACGAGTTTTTTTAAAGAGTTTTATCGAGCCGTTCCTGAGATAATAAATCATAAACAAATGAATAAATAAATTCACTAAAATATTAACTGACGATTTAGTACCGTCAACTCTTTCTAAGACGGACCCCTTGGGGACCGGCTCTGAGTGTCCATCTTAGAGAGATGTCTGTCTTATAGAGAGTCAAATAAAGAGAGTAAAGAAAGGCAGGGACCAACTCTAGGTGTCCGTTTTACAAAGGTGCCTGTTTTATAGAGAGTCAAATAAAGAGAGTAAAGAAAGGCAGCGACCAACTCTAGGTGTCCTTTTGACAGAGTTGTCTGTTAAGGGAGAGTCGGCTGTAGCCCCTTTAATAGTAGTAGCAAAAAAAAATGATTACGTTATTTGCTAGTCTAGGCCAGTCTGTATAGAAAAAAACTGTGCCCTAGCTAAGTCCATGAGTACGGCCCGAGACCGAACTGAAGACCTCGGGCAAAATTTTTTCTAATACGAACCTCTTGGCCGACAAATAACATATAATTATGTACTAAGGAATTCGAATTTGCAGTTTAAAATTTAATAACCATTGTTGGTAAACATTGAAATGTTAAGCGTGAACTTCTGTAGTTTGCCCTACGAAATTCTTGGAAATTCAGCACATATTGAATAAGATTACGTGTTTAATTATCTCCTCACAAATGTTGTCGCTTGTTTTTTTAACCCGCCTGAGTAAAATATGTTAAATGACATCAAAAGACGTTAACTGCATTTGTTTAAAGCAATTCAAGTGCGTAATTGCGCCCATTGGTACAAGGCAGACTTCAACTGATCCGCAAGAGTTATTGTGTTTTTCAATTACAACCTGCATCTGTCAGATTATGTTAGCTTGCAGAACGTATTCCTTGTCATTTTATTTACCGTCTGCGTATGTAATTTGGTTTGCTTTCTTTGTTTGTTTTTCAATGCGAATTAAATTTTTATTGCATAAGTTCTACCTGCAAATTTCCTCTTAATAAACCTAAGGAAGTGTACATGTTTGATCGGGGACACTTGCAGCTTTTAAAGTTACAAATATATGCGTTGTAAGTGTGTATAATTTTGGAAAGCCTGCCCTGAAATTTGTTCACAAAGGATCTGAGTTCTATTCGAAAGCAGTATTGTTTAGGTGTAAATAAGATTTTGCCGACCACGTTAGTGCATTTTCAAAGTTTCGAACGTTAATCTAATTTTCTTCTCCGTGCGAACGGATCATAGTTTCCGTCCAATTTCGCTGTTCTATTGTCTGTTTGTTTAACAAAATAAATTGTTTGCGGGGTGGATTTGCCTTAAGCTCCAGCTAGCTCCTGAAATGTGGGAACATTTTTTAACACCGCCAAGAAATGCTTTGAGAGCGGAAAAACAACTACAGTGATATCTTTAAGTTGCGAGTTCGTGAAAGCGCGTGTTAACCGCAAAGTTACCTGCCAAATTATTACCTATCATAATTTAAACGTCTACTTTGAGGGAGGGGTGGGTGGATAGTGTATGTAGCATTTTCAAGACTCTGTATACCCCTAAAATGTATATAGGGACATCATATGACAGGTTGCAACCGCAAAAGACTATAAACTATTAAAATATGTACCTGAAATACGGCTGGTTTTACTGAACCACTGAGTATTAAATATTTAATCAATATGCTAGTTTTTGCGCTTGCCGAATTAAAACTCTTAATCGATTTCCATTTGAATGAATGTAGTCTGTTCATTTAAAAAAGCAGCTTCACCTGAATACTATGGCGCGGAGACGGATTTCGCTTTTTTTTTTGAAGTTGCAGCTGCAGTAATTATCGGAGCGTTCGCGTGGCGATTGAGATAATATTCTTCCTTATGTAAACTAATCGATTGCTACCTTTGACAAGCGTCTAAATATGTCTGTCTATTTCCAAACAGTCGAATATCATTAATGTGCATACAGAAACAACTTCCATGGGGCATAAACCTTCTTTTTTGTATTCGTATTTGTCAGTGTAGGAGGGAGTTTTCGCTCCTTGAGTATGACAACGCAGAACTGTATTGTGCATTGTTATTTTTTGCAAAACAAAACGTAAAGCCAGTGGAATGTGATACAAAGTATTCCACTTAGATTTGAGTTGCAAGAATAATTACTCGAGTATTTTGGTTTTATTGTCCCTTATAAACTTTTGCCGCGATCGATCAGTGCTTCGAAGTTCGTGGAATGCGCTGTAAATGAACTTCAGTTGAGGCGTTGTGTGCGAGGAAGCCGAAATCAAGTTGTACTGAATTTCGCCGTCAACCAGGAGTTTTCATCGTTTCAAGTTGTTAAATGAACTCAAATAATTACACGAGCTTATGGAACTACATGTATTAGGAAGTCTTATGTGGATTTCTTCACGGTTTGAAGCAACATGAGAGGACTTAAAGCATGGAAATTTACTACAAGACGTAAGTCAGACACTTTTGTTTCTCGTTTGGTCATGTGAAATATTATATAATTCTTGTACGTATTCCGCTGGCGGGACAACCATTTAATAAGCTACCAGCAAATAGAGGGCTCCAGAATCCAAATCTTGCCCGAATAAGACAAGTTATTTACTCTTATTGTTAGCGACTGAGGGTGGTCAGATTGTGCGGTTTCTACTTATGCTGTATAAAGCGTTATTAACTTTGCAGCGATGGTTAATTTTGGGGGATTATCTGAAATGTCTTTATAACAACTTACGAACTTACGTAGTAGAAGCTATCAGAACCGGATGTACTTATTACTTTCAATTTCTATGGTTTTTTAAACAAACTATCATTTATCCTGCCCGCTTACAAATGTTGATTAGCTCGATATGGATCTTGTAGTTAGCTCTATCAAGCTTCTTATATTTCCGTGTGCGTTTCTCTGGACTGTCGTGTATTTTTTCCCGCGCCTTTTAAAATAACCCGTGATCGACCACAAGCGAATCGCGTTTTGTATGGTGTAATCCATTACATGCTCTCTCAATTAGCTAATTGGTATGTCGCGGTATCTGTATTTTGTACGATGAAACGTAAGATAACTGTATTAAACTATAATCCTGTGCAACTGTGATAAAAATGGTCATATATATCGCGCCCAGTGACAATGAAGAAATGAAAGTTCCATTGCGTCGTGTGTCTGCATGGTGATAGCTGAATTATTTCGTTCCTGGCTAAATAATCTGAAATTGAGCTGTCTACTCGGAAGCACTTTGCTGTGGTGTTGCATAAAGGTTGAGTTGTGTGTATACTGAATTAGGTGATTCTTTCGATTCTGCGAGTTCTTAACGCTTAGCAAAACAGGCAGCGCTGATGTAGAATTTCTCGAAAAATTTGATTACATATCTGTTCGTTGTGCCTACTAAAGGGCGGTTCTAGGTTTTGAGTCGATCCGTAGCTGAAATATCTTGTGTGATCATTCAATTGAAGTCCATTGAGGCATACTTTCTTGTGGTGCTGTACAAGGTCGCTTCTTACTTTTGATTCTGTGGAGGAAATACTTAAGAGTGACCAGTCAATTGTAAGGAACTGAGCAGTACTTTCCTGTGGTACTGTTTATTATGCTGTACAAGGTGGTTCTAACTTTTGAGTCTGAGGATGAAATTCTAAAGTGTTACCATTCAAATGAAAGCTACTGAGCAGTACTTCGTTGTGGTGCTGTTTATTATGCTGTTCAGTGTGATTCTAACTTCTGAGTCTGTGGATGAAATCCTTATAGTTATGCACAGTACTTATAATATTTGAGTCTGTACTTGCAGATGAAATCCTTAACCATGAACATTGACCGGAAAGTTACCGAGCGCGAGTGCTTTTCGCTGCTGCTGTTATCCCACAGGAATTAAAATTATGATAATGTTTGCCTTCAAGTCAGTTTTATCTTTGGAATACTAAAATTCTGAACTAAATGAGCCGAATGTGCGGAGGTAGTTGCATTATATTCTTCGGGTGTTGCTTGTTGTCGGCAATTGCCCACAGACAGTAAATGAAAAAAAAAACTCTAAATTACCTGCATTATTTAACGCCTTATTGCGAAACGTTAAGGACAAGACAGGAAAAAATAGTATCTGACGAACAAAAGAAAGAGGTCATTCCAAAGGCATTAGTCATAACTCTTTTTCATTTTGATTTCTTTGTGATCGGCAAACAGAGCCTTTGTTTTAGATTCCAATCCTTTTGTGCTTTTCATTTTCAGCGCATTAACAAGTATTAATTACGCGGTATTTTAGCTGCTTCAGCCTGTAGCTCGTAGTTGAGTGCCTGGCTAACAAACCTCTCAGGTGCATTCGTGACTCGATTGTGCGCGTATGATATGGACCGTTTGATTGATGACACACCCGATTGAGAGGAAGTACCATGCGCATTTTGTTACCCCTAAGAGAATGACTCTCTCTTCTTCAAAGGCCTCTTAGTGTCGTAGGGAAGCTAGGGAGATGGAAAAACGAGTGTGCGCGGAGGACGACGGGAAGGGGAAAGAGAGGAGAGAGGCTCCCGCCTTTTCTCTCTTCCCATCGTCCCCCGCGCGCTGTCTATTTCTTGATCACCGTATTTATTCGATTAACCGCTCGATTAAATGTTCACCATTTTTAGCAAGAGTAGTATGTTTTTTTTTTTTTTAACAAAACGCAAACATGTAACAAAGCAAGGTTTCTGTAAAACATTATGGAGAAAACCTCGTCATCGGGAAAGTCTGTTCTAGTAATTATTCAATTTTTGTGGGGATGGTAGGGGAGGGGGTGGGGTTGGGCCCTTATTTGAGTTTGAGTGGTAGGGGGTGGGGTAGGGCGTTTATTAACTTTTTCTGCCTTTAGGATGGGCGCAAATTCGAGGTTGGGCGCTTATTCGAATAAATACCGTATTACCATTTTATTAGGATACCCAGCGGGAGCCTGTGCGGAGGAGAGTGCGAGTATGACGACGGTGCTGTCATGGACCCGTGCACAACGATAAAGTACCCTGAACTTCCGCTTATAAGCCCTGGGCTTATAAAACTTCCAAAGGGGTTTTCAGAGGGTCTATAAACGGGGGGGGGTTATATCCATGGGCTTACAACTGAACTAAAAACGTTTCGAAACAAGATACATATCAGTGCTTGCCACAATACTTTTCGAATTTACTCGCTTTTTCGTTTTTCAAAGCTTCAAAACGTAAAAAATACAAGCTAGAGGGAGGGCTTATAACAACAACAACCAACCAACCATTATATTTGCCAATTCACAAGACGCTTACAAAACAGAATAAATTTAAATAGATCAGGCAAAAAACTTCTTAGAAAAGCAAAAAACTAAACGAGCTGAGTAGTTACAATTATAAAATTACATTCTATAGGGTTGCGACACACGAAAGACGAGGAAAAATACTTTAAATTTAGGAGAAAAAATAATAGTAATGAAAAGCAAATAAATTAATTAATGAAAATAAAATAGAACAACACAAAACAAAACGGTACCAGGTAACTACAAAGTTTACATTAATAAGGGTAAGTCATATCTTGCTAGCCAGCATCAAGAGTAAGCGGATAAGATTATTCCTAACAGAAGGACTAGAGAAGTGTAGATTAAATTTACCGTAATTAGTTCTAACCTGATCAATTTAATAAGTTGACTTTGATGCTAGCCTAGTACCGTACCGATGCTTAGATGATACAAGTGAAAAGAAGTTGTCAAAACAGCCTTAGGTAGTAAATTATGATGAAATTGAAACATAAAAACGGCATTATGAAGAGTCACTAGATCCCTGAGCCTAATTAATCCTATAACCGGATGTATTCTTTTATTTACTTGTAGATAGGCCTGTAGCAAGGGAAGGCTTATAAGTAAGGGGGAAGGGAGGGGGGGGCTTCGCATATCAAGGAACGCGTATTCAGGCTATGTTCACTCCCAGAGGGTGTACCCCCTTGTATGGCCTTTACGGGGATGTCCCACTGGACAGAGTATGGTTTTTGTCCTGTCTGTCATAATCAGGGCATATAACATAACATAACTTTATTAGCATTCCTATATACAGAAATGGAATTGCTTTTAAACTATGACAATTTTAATTTTAATAATATTTAAAATAATCAAATAAACAGGTAGTATTAATTAAAAGTTATAAATAGAAATCTCTATTCCCATGCTTTTGTTTTAGGGAATAAAATTCTCTAAGTTTAAATGCTTCATAGGCATAGTATTGTTAAAAAAAAAGTATAACGTTTTTACGATTTGTTCAAGTCTACGAATTTGCAGTACTTGGCTTCTACGTCTTGAAAAAACTGCTGTCTTAAGTTGTTATATAAATTGCATTCAAATAGAAAATGAATTTCATTCTCTACTTTATTCGACGAGCAAAGCTGACATATACTAAGGTTCTCAGGAATTTTGGGAAGATGGTATCTATCAGTTTCAATTCTTAACCTGTGATTACTTGATCGTAATTTTGCTGCTGCCTGGCGGTGCGTTTGGTTTTTAATAAGGTTGGAATATTCTGATCTGCTCACATCATTCTTAAAAGTGGAAGAGAAATTCAATTTTTTGAAAGATCACAACATGTTCATTTGATCCTTTTTAAAGTAATCTATGATAGTCTGTTTTATTTTTGGCAGCCTCGATTTAACTAATTTTGGCTCTTCAAGAATACTAGAGACCGTTAATTAGTAGAAGTGTTACAGTATAGTTTCATGAACTCTTGAAAAGACAGCATGAAAGACGGTTTTCCATTGTTTGTTAGTTAATTCGAAAGTAAAAGGCATTGCTTTGCAGTACTAGTAAGATGTAACCAAAATTTTATGACAATATTAATTTTAGATTTAAGTGATAATCTTCCTGCTTCATTACGAGATATAATGTTTGTAGCTCTTCTGTTTAGGCCGATAGAATGTTTGTAAAAATGTGTGTGAATTTTCTCAATGGGGTCTTTTTGCTATTTCTTAGCATCAGTTCTGTCATAAGCACCCCATACCTCAGAGCTGTACAGTAATATAGGAAGAAACAGGGCATCAATACGTTTATTGCATGCAGCAACTGGAAGATTGTTAAACTCAAGATAGCGTTTTGCACCAAATATTGATCTTCTTGTTTTCTCTGCAGATAACTGTTTGGAAATTGAGAAACTTCCATTTGAATTAAATATTATGCCCAGATAAGAGTATTCTGTGGAATTGGCGACTTGATTCCCATTTAGGAAGAAAGTGTATTTAGCCCGTGTTGATTTACCGTTTTGTTTCTGGAAGATGAGTGCTTTTGTTTTTTTAAGACATATTTTCAGTGACCATTTGTTGCAATCTTCATTTATGATATTAAGAAGAAATCCACGAGGAGATTGAGTAATTTTAATTCTCAGTGGACAAAAACCTTGTACCAGAATAATTAAAAGGATATTGCATTCTTTTTTACATTTTTCAAGGCCTAAAGATGTAATTAGTCACCTGTAATAAAACCAAAGAAAATTTCTAATAGGAGCCAGAGAAAATGATTGTCAAATTTCACAAAATTACATCATACACATGAAATTCTTGTGAAATTTGACATTCCTTTTTTTCGGACTCCCATGGGAAATTTTCGTTGGTGTTATTACAGATGACTAATTACATCTTTAGCTTTTGAAAAATGTAAAAAAGAATGCAATATCCTTTAAATCATTCTGGGACAAGGTTTTTGTCCACTGAAAATTGAAATTACTAAATTTCCTGCTGGATTTCACCTTTAGTGCAATTTGGTGCAATTTGGGAGACAAGTATACGTGCTATATCGTCTAGATATAAGTTAGATAACAATGGGGAAATGATACATCCTTGTGGTACGCCTTTGTTATAGTTAAAGTAGTCGGTCCTCTTATTGCCATTTTTTATCGCACACTTTTTATCTTGAAAATATGTCGGCGATGAAATGATAAAACTTGCCACCTATTTTGTTGTCAAGAAGTTTATATAAAAGACCATTATGACATACCGAATCAAACGCTTTTTGAAAATAAAGAAACAGCAATATAATTTCGCGCGAGACTTTCCTAAATAGGGTATATAATTTCGTGCGAGTCTGTCCTAATTGTATACGGGGTATTGCCTGTACGGTTGATATGATTTTGTTAATGAAATTTCAGTTAGTACTCCAGTTATACAAAAGCAGTGACTCTAACGTGAATTTGCTCTATTGCCAATAAATGGTTCTAAAACAAGACGGCGGGCATTTTGTCCTTTGTCCTAGGCAGGGTAATGAAATTGAAGTGGTTGTCCTGAACAGGCTATGCATTTTAGGATGTTTTTGTCAGAAACATGGTCAGGGATTCTAACCCTCAGTGGCTCACCTATAACCAAACAACAAGTTCAGTTACAAGTTCAGTTAAGTTGCTTAATTAACCCCCCTAAATTGTGCAAACACTTTGAAAACCTCTCACCATGTTGGACAAAACAGTCAAAACAATTTGCATGTGACATCATCCGTGTGTGTAGATCATGGGCAACGAACAATCACAGCACCCTTAGCATTCACCACGTGGTATAAATGTACATAAAATCACCTTCCTTATGAGCCACAATAATGGCGAAACAGCAGTCGACGGCCACATTCCCGCTCTGTTTTAGCATCTATCGGTGTCGTGCTTATGTCTCGTACAGTTGATTTTGACGCAGAACGATCAGCTGTGCAGATTTCAATGTGTCTAAATGTACATATAATTAATACAGGGGAATTTATTTTCTCATTTAGTTCAAGATTGTGCCAAAGTATGGCGTGGATTACGCGCCTAACCAATCAAGAGCGAGAAATGTTATTGCTCGACCAATCATCGTAGATTAAGAAAATGATGTTATTATTATGCCCTGTTTATCACCAAAAGTTCCCTAGTGATTAAGAATAAATTCCGTGTTTGGCAGCAAGTAATCTTTCAACTCTTAAGCAGAAGCCGGTGGCGGATCCAGAGGAGGGACCCAGGGGGCCCGCCCCCTATTTTTAGAACAAACTGAGGTCCCAAGGGCCGAAGAAATTTTTTTGAGACCAGGCACCCCTTATCTCAAGGTCTGGATCCGCCACTGGAAGCAATGAGAGACGGCCGGATGAATGTGTTCTCAGTAGGTAAATATAAATAAACCGCGCGGATTCGAGTTCTCCGCTTTGTAAACTCTCTCTACATGTTGTTCTATGATCATGTCTTTGATTGATAGAGGTAAGAGTGCATGAGCCATTTTTCCAAACCCGAGAAAAAAAACATCATTTCCTTACCATCTAGTCGCTCCTATTACATAAGAATTAGCAGAAGTTATCATGAATTTCCCTTGCCATTATATATGAAGTGTATTTCATCCACCCCAAGTACCTTCAGTGGGCGACAAAATTGTTAAGGCACTGTCATCAAATGATGTATAGTTTGAAGAACAAAAAAATCTACACCCCTCCACCACACCTTTATTCAACGTTGGGGGAGTTTGTTGTTTCTTACAGGTAGCCTGAACAGCGGCACAACGTTACTTAGAGGGGGTGGCGAGGAAAAGCTTCATTTTCCCTTTTGAAGTCGGCAAAACGCGAGAAACGATACAGCATTGTAATCTACACCATCCAAAATATAACAGATACTACGCAACTCTTAAAAACCTCTAATTTCATTAGTTCCTTATATCACGCAGCTCCATTGCTGCATCCAAAACACTGACAATCCATTTGACGCTGCAGCATTTAATCGAATTAATACGGTATACATAACCCCCTCAGGATAATTAGGTATTCCCACGCTGAAAACGTTAAAGGAAAGACGTGTGCGACTTTCCTGCAAAAAAACACGTTTTAAATCAAAGGAAAACAGTAAAATACAACTGAATATACAATTACCAATAAAGTTATAACTAAATAAATACATGTATCACTGTTGTAATCTGATATGTCATCAAAGCAATCTCTATTTTTTAAGGATATTTCTGTTTCTTTGACAGCCTCTGTAACCCTTTCCGCTGTTGCCTCACTGTTATTCTCATGGCTCAGTCTGGTAGGATTGTTCACGATCGGATTCATAAAGATTGCGGAAGGACAATCAACGAACAATATTCTCGGAACAACATTACTATTCCAACCAAGTACAACAAATTGGGAAGAACCACTTACTATAATAACAAACTCAAACACTATACCATACACTACAACTACTGTGTTGACCAATCCTTCAGCCTCCACATCGCCCAGTGTATCGCCAAGTGTCTCGGACTCCACCTCTGCTAGCGTATCAGCCAGTGTGTCGACCAGTGCTTCGGCGTCCACATCACCCAGTGTAACGCCAAGTGTCTCGGCCTCCAGCTCTGCTAGCGTGTCAGCCAGTGTGTCGACCAGTGCTTCGGCCTCCAAATCACCTAGTGTGTCGCCAAGCGCCTCGGCCTCCACCTCTGCTAGCGTGTCAGCCAGTACGTCGACCAGAGCTTCGGCCTCCACATCGCCCAGTGTGTCGCCAAATGTCTCGTCCTCCACCTCTGCTAGCGTGTCAGCCAGTGTGTCGACCAGTGCTTCGGCCTCCACATCGCCCAGTGTGTCGCAAAGTGTTTCGGCCTCCACTTCTGCTAGCGTGTCAGCCACAGTGTCAGCTAGTGCTTGGGCCTCCACATCGCCCAGTGTGTCGCCAAGTGTCTCTGCTTCCACCTCTGCTAGCGTGTCAAGCAGTGTGTCGACCAGTACTTCGGCGTCCACATCGCCCAGTGTGTCGCGAAGTGTCTCGACTTCCACTTCTGCTAGCGTGTCAGCCAGTGTGTCGACCAGTGCTTCGATCTCCACAGCGCCCAGTGTGTCGCCAAGTGTCTCGGCCTCCACCTCTGGGAGCGTGTCAACCAGTGTGTGGACGAGTGCTTCGGTCTCGACATCGCCCAGTGTGTCGCCAAGTGTCTCGGCCTCCACCTCTGCCAGCGTGTCAGCCAGTGTGTCCACCAGCGTTTCAGCCTCCACATCGCTCAGTTTTTCGCCAAGTTTCTCGGCCTCCACCTCTGCTAGCGTGTTAGCCAGTGTGTCGACCAGTGCTTCGGTTTCGACATCTCCCAGTGCGTCGCCAAGTGTCTCGGCCTCCACCTCTTCCAGCGTGTCAGCCAGTGTGTCCACCATCATTTCAGCCTTAAACTCGTCCAGTGTTTCGGCAAGTTTCTCGGCCTCCACCTCTGCTAGCGTGTCAGCCAGTCTGTCGACCAGTGCTTCGGTCTCGAAATCGCCCAGTGTGTCGCCAAGTGTCTCGGCCAACACCTCTGCCAGCGTGTCAGCCAGTGTGTCCACCAGCGTTTCAGCCTCCACATCGCCCAGTGTTTCGCCAAGTATCTCGGCTTCCACCTATTTTAGCGTGTCAGGCAGTGTGTCGACCAGTGCTTCGGTCTCGACATCGCTAAGTGTGTCGCCAAGTGTCTCGGCCTCCACCACTGCCAGCGTGTCAGCCAGTGTGTCCACCAGCGTTTCAGCCTCCACATCGCCTAGTGTTTCGCCAAGTATCTCGGCCTCCACCTCTTTTAGCGTGTCAGGTAGTGTGTCGACAAGTGCTTCGGTCTCGACATCGCCCAGTGTTTCGCCAAGTTTCACGGCTTCCACCTCTGCTAGCGTGTCAGCCAGTGTGTCGACCAGCGCTTCGGTCTCGACATCGCCCAGTGTATCGCCAAGTGTGTCGGCCTCCACCTCTGCTAGCGTGTCAGCCAGTTTGTCCACCAGTGTTTCAGCCTCCACATCGCCCAGTGTTTTGGGAAGTTTGTCGACCTCCTCCTCTGTTACCGTGTCAGCCAGTGTGTCGACCACTGCTTCAGTCTCGACATCGCCCAGTGTGTCGCCAAGTTTTTCGGCCTCCACCTCTGCTAGCGTGTCAGCCAGTGTGTCGACCAGTGCTTCGGTCTCGACATCGCCCAGTGTGTCGCCAAGTTTCTTGGCCTCCACCTCTGCCAGCGTGTCAGCCAGTTTGTCCACCAGCGTTTCAGCCTCCACATCGCCTAGTGTTTCGCCAAGTTTCTCGGCCTCCTCCTCTGTTAGCGTGTCAGCCAATGTGTCCATTGGTGCTTCAGTCTCGACATCGCCCAGTGTGTCGCCAAGTGTCTCGGCCTCCACCTCTGCCAGCGTGTCAGCCAGTGTTTCGACCAGTACTTCGGTCTCGACATCGCCCAGTGTGTCGCCAAGTGTCTCGGCCTCCACCTCTGCCAGCGTGTCAGCCAGTGTGTCGACCAGCGTGTCAGCCTCCACATCGCCCAGTGTTTCGCCAAGGGTATCGGCCTCTACCTCTGGTAGCGTGCCAGCCAGTGTGTCGACCAGTGCTTTGGTCTCGACATTGCCCAGTGTGTCACCAAGTGTCTCGGCCTCCACCTCTGCCAGCGTGTCAGCCAGTGTGTCCACCAGCGTTTCAGCCTCCACATCTGCTACTGTTTCGCCAAGGTTTTCGGCCTCCACCTCTGTTAGCGTGTCAGCCAGTGTTTCGACCAGTACTTCAGTCTCGACATCGCCTAGTGTTTCGCCAAGTGTGTCGGCCTCCACGTCTCCTATCGTGTCAGCCATTTTGTTCACCAGCGTTTCAGCCTCCACTTCACCCAGTGTTTCGCCAAGTTTCTCGGCCTCCAACTCTGCTAGCGTGTCAGCCAGTGTGTCGACCAGTGCTTCGGTCTCGACATCTCCCAGTGTGTCGCCAAGTGTTTCGGCCTCCACCTCTGCCAGTGTGTCCACCAGCGTTTCAGCCTCCACATCGTCCAGTGTTTCGCCAAGTATCTCGGCCACCACCTCTGCTAGCGTGTCAGGCAGTGTGTCGACCAGTGCTTCGGTCTCGACATCGCCTAGTGTGTCGCCAAGTTTCTCGGCTTCCACCTCTGCCATCGTGTCACCCAGTATGTCCACCAGCGTTTCAGGCTCCACATCGCCCAGTGTTTCGCCAAGTTTTTCGGCCTCCACCTCTGCTAGCGTGTCAGCCAGTGTGTCGACCAGTGCTTCGGTCTCGACATCGCCCAGTGTGTCGCCAAGTGTGTGGGCCTCCACCTCTGCTGGCGTGTCATCCAGTTTGTCCACCAGCGTTTCAGCCTCCACATCGCCCAGTGTTGTGGCAAGTTTCTCGGACTCCACCTGTGCTAGCGTTTCAGCCAGTGTGTCGACCAGTGCTTCAGTCTTGACATCCTCCAGTGTGTCGCCAAGTGTCTCGGCCTCCAGCTGTGCTAGCGTGTCAGCCAGTGTTTCGAGCAGTACTTTGGTCTCCACATCGCCCAGTGTTTTGGCAAGTTTCTCGGACTCCACCTCTGCTAGCGTGTCAGCCAGTGTGTCGACCAGTGCTTCGGTCTCGACATCGCCCAGTGTGTCGCCAAGTGTCTCGGCCTCCACCTCTGCCAGCGTGTCAGCCAGTGTGTCCACCAACGTTTCAGCCTCTACATCATCCAGTGTTTTGCCACGTTTTTGGGCCTCCACCTCTGCTAGCGTGTCAGCCAGTGTGCCGACCAGTGCTTCAGTCTCGACATCGCCCAGTGTGTCGCCAAGTGTCTCGGCCTCCACCTCTGCCAGCGTGTCAGCCAGTGTGTCCACCAGCGTTTCAGCCTCCACATCGCCCAGTGTTTTGGCAAGTTTCTCGGACTCCACCTCTGCTAGCGTGTCAGCCAGTGTGTCGACCAGTGCTTCAGTCTCGACATCGCCCAGTGTGTCGCCAAGTGTGTCGGCCTTCGCCTCTGCTAGCGTGTCAGCCAGTGTTTCCACCAGCGTTTCAGCCTCCACATCGCCCAGTGTTGCGCCAAGTTTCTCGGCCTCCACCTCTGCTAGCGTGTCAGCCAGTGTGTCTACCAGTGCTTCGTTCTCGACATCTCCCAGTGTGTCGCCAAGTGTTTCGACCTCCACATCTGCCAGCGTGTCAGCCAGTGTGTCCACCAGCGTTTCAGCCACCACATCGTCCAGTGTTTCGGCAAGTTTCCTGGCCTCCACCTCTGCTAGCGTGTCAGCCAGTGTGTCGACCAGTGCTTCGGTCTCGACATCGCCCAGTGTGTCGCCAAGTGTCTCGGCCTCCACCTCTGCCATCGTGTCAGCCAGTGTGTCTACCAGCGTTTCAGCCTCCACATCGCCCAGTGTTTCGCCAAGTATCTCGGCCTCCACCTCTGCTAGCGTGTCAGGCAGTGTGTCGACCAGTGCTTCGGTCTCGACATCGCCCAGTGTGTCGCCAAGTGTTTTGGCCTCCACCTCTGCCAGCGTGTCAGCCAGTGTGAATTTTGTTTTAGTTTTTATTTGCATATATTTTTTTTTTTACCAAATTGCCTAAGACAAGTGCTGAAGTAATAAATTTAAATATGCTGTTGCAACTAATGTTAACGGCGAGATAATAAAACTCTATCAAATAAACAAAAAATAAATGAATAAAAAATAAATACTTAAATAAATATGTCGTTAAATAAATGAATTAATTATTGAATGCTCAAGTGCCGTCCATAACCGGATTTTGGCAGACTGGGGGAGCTTAACATTTACGCAAACCACCCGGGTGGAAATTTTGTAGAGATACATTTAATTATCCCTATTTGTAATAACTTGTTATTCATAGTGTAACAAATAACTAGCATATAACGTAATTTTAAATTATTTGGAACACGGTTGATGTAGCAGTTGTTATAAGACCCCAAATAAAATATTGTCTAATGTCAGGCTTCTATCTAGGATATTTGAGGGGTAGAAGCTTCCTCCCCAAAATGCCTAGCTTCCCCTCAAACAATGTTATCATTACAATATATAAGTAACTTTATCGGAAAAATCATCCAGACGCTACGAGGTCAGTGCACAGGAAGTAAATATTCCCTTTCTAAGGACACTCTATGACAAGGAACATGATCACGACTAAAAAATAAAATATAATACCACTGTATCATTTCCCAAAATTGTGTCTCAAAATGCACCAGATTTCATCTCGGCGTGTGTTCATTTCAAAAAATTTCTGGTGGTCATGCCCCCGGATCCCGCTAGGAAACTCGTGGCCTTCGGCCACTTGGAACTAATCTCCCCCAAACGATATATCCTAGATAGAACCCTGAATGTCTATTGCCTATATACACTCGAATCTCTCTTAGTGGACACCTCCAGTATAAGAAAGACACTTCTGTAAAACGAACACCTAGAGCTGGTCCCTGCCTTTTTTTACTCCCCTTATTTGACTCTCTCCTATAAGAAAGACACCTCTATAAGACGGCCACCTCTGTAAAACGGACACCTAGAGTTTGTCCCTGCCTTCCTTTACTCCCTTCATTTGACTCTCTATAAGACGGACACCCCTGTAAAACAGACACCTAGAGTTGGTCCCTGCGCTTCTTTACTCCCTTTATTTGACTCTCTATAAGACGGACACCTCTTTAAAACGGACAGCTAGAGTTGGTCCCTGCGTTTCTTTGGTCCCTTTATTTGACTCTCTATAAGACGGACACCTCTGTAAAACGGACAGCTAGAGTTGGTCCCTGCGTTTCTTGACTCCCTTTATTTGACTCTCTATAAGATGGACTCCCCTGTAAAACAGATACCTAGAGTTGGTCTCTGCCTTTCTTTACTCCTTTTATTTGACTCTCTATAAAACGGACATCTTTCTAAGACGGACACTTAGTAACGGTACTCATGGTGACCGTCTTAGAGAAAGTTGATTGTACTGAGCTTTTCCGTTTTCCTCTTTCAACGAAGTATGTAGCCTCCAACGTGGGCGGTTTTAGGGGAGCTCATATTGGATCAATTTAGGTTTCTGGGGAACTGACCACCTTCCCCTCCCCTAAGTCAACATTATCACTTACTTCTCACTTAGGGCAAAATGTTGGCTTAGGGGAGGGGTAGGTGCGCAGTTTCCCAGAAACCCTAGTATTTCGTCCCTCCCCACAGAGGAGGGGAGAGACGAAATACGCCTGCGTGGGAGGCTACGAAGTATGCCAAAGGGTTGCTTCTCTGCTCCAGTGACGAGCGCGACGTGGCTCTTCAACCTCTTTTAAGTAACCTACCGGGAAGCCCCTCATTTTCCTGGGGAATAGTAGAACAAGCGAAATGAATGATAAATAATACGTAAACGAATAAATAGATTAAAATAACTAACGTTTTATAAGAACCACATCCACAGATCTTCAGTTCAATTTGTATTACCCCTGTTCACATAATCTTCGCTCTATGAATAAATAAATTGTCATAATTAAGGATTTAGTAGTAGCACATCCTCATATCTTCAATTCAATTTGTATTTCCGCAGTTCACAGTATCTTCATTCCATAAATGAATATATCAACACAATTAAGATTTAACAGTAGCACAGCCACCGATCTTTAATTTAAAAAAGTTTGTATTTGCGCAGTTCACATCATCTTCATTTTATTATTACATCATGGAGTTTTATGTGACGAGTTTTTTTAAAGAGTTTTATCGAGCCGTTCCTGAGATAATAAATAATAAACAAATGAATAAATAAATTCAATAAATTAATAACTGACGATTTAGTACCGTCAACTCTTTCTAAGACGGACCCCTTGGGGACCGGCACTGAGTGTCCATCTTATAGAGGTGTCCGTCTTATAGAGAGTCAAATAAAGGGAGTAAAGAAAGGCAGGAACTAACTCTAGGTGTCCGTTTTATAGAGGTATCCGTCTTATAGAGACTCAAATAAAGAGAGTAAAGAAAGGCAGGGACCAACTCTAGGTGTCCGTTTTACAGGAGTGTCCGTCTTATTGAGAGTCAAATAAAGAGAGTAAAGAAGGCAGGGACCAACTCTAGGTGTCCTTTTGACAGAGTTGTCTGTTAAGGGAGAGTCGGCTGTAGCCCCTTTAATAATAGTAGCAAAAAGGAATGATTACTTTACTTCATAGTCTAGGCCAGTCTGTATAGAAAAAACTGTGTCCTAGCTAAGTACGGCCCGAGACCGAACTGAAGACCTCGGGCAAAGTTTTTCCCATACGAACCTCTTGGCCGACAAATAACATATAATTATGTACTTAGGAATTCGAATTTGTAGTTTAAAATTTAATAACCATTGTTGGTAAATATTGAAATGCTAAGCGTGAACTTCTCTAGTTTGCCCTACGAAATTCTTGGAAATTCAGCACTTATTGAATAAGATTACGTGTTTAATTATCTCCTCACAAATGTTGTCACTAGTTTTTTTAACCCGCCTGAGTAAACTATGTTAAATGACATCAAAAGACGTTAACTGCATTTGTTTAAAGCAATTCAAGTGCGTAATTGCGCCCATTGGTACAAGGCAGACTTCAACTGATCCGCAAGAGTTATTGTGTTTTTCAATTACAACCTGCATCTGTCAGATTATGTTAACTTGCAGAACGTATTCCTTGTCATTTTATTTGCCGTCTGCTTGGCGTATGTAATTTGGTTTGCTTTCTTTGTTTGTTTTTCAATGCGAATTAAATTTTTATTGCATAAGTTATACCAGCAAATTTCCTCTTAATAAACCTAAGGAAGTGTACATGTTTGGTCGGGGACACTTGCAGCTTTTAAAGTTACAAATATATGAGTTGTAAGTGTGTATAATTTTGGAAAGCCTGCCCTGAAATTTGCTCACAAAGGATCTGAATTCTATTGGAAAGCAGTAATGTTTAGGTGTAAATACGATTTTGCCGACCAAAGTTTCGACCAAAGTTTCGAACGTTAATCTAATTTTCTTCTCCGTGCGAACGGATCATAGTTTCCGTCCAATTTCGCTATTCTATTGTCTGTTTGTTTAACAAAATAAACTGTTTGCGGGGTGGATTTGTCTTAAGGTCCAGAAATGTGGGAACATTTTTTAACACCGCCATGAAATGCTTTGAGAGCGGAAAAACAACTACAGTGATGTCTTTAAGTTGCGAGTTCGTGAAAGCGCTTGTTAACCGCAAGGATTACCTGCCAAATTGTTACCTAAGACTCAGACAGGATTCATAATTTAAACGTGTACTTTGAGGGAGGGGTAGGTGGATAGTGTATGTAGCATTTTCAAGACTCTGTATACCCCTAAAATGTATGTAGGGGCATATGACAGGTTGCAACCGCAAAAGACTATAAACTATTAAAATATGTACATGAAATACGGCTGGTTTTACTGAACCACTGAATGTTAAATATTTAATCAATATGCCAGTTTTTACGCTTGCCGAATTAAAACTCTTAATCGATTTCCATTTGAAAGAATGCAGTCTGTTCATTTAAAAAGCAGTTTCATCTGAATACTATGGCGCGGAGGCGGATTTCGCTTTCTTTTTTTTTAAGTTGTAGCTGCAGTAATTAACGGAGCGTTCGCGTGGCGGTTTTGAGAATATTCTTCCTTATGTAAACTAATCGATTGCTACCTTTGACAAGCGTCTAAATATGTCTGTTTATTTCCAAACAGTCGAATATCATTAATGTGCATACAGAAACAACTTCCACGGGGCATAAACCTTCTTTTTTGTATTCGTATTTGTCAGTGTAGGAGGGAGTTCTCGCTCCTTGAGTATGACAACGCAGAACTGTATTGTGCATTGTTATTTTTTGCAAAACAAAACGTAAAGCCAGTGGAATGTGATACAAAGTATTCCACTGAGATTTGAGTTGCAAGAATAATTACTCTAGTATTTTGGTTTTATTGTTCCTTATAAACTTTTGCCGCGATCGATCAGTGCTTCGAAGTTCGTGGAATGCGCTGTAAATGAACTTTAGTTGAGGCGTTGTGTGCGAGGAAGCCGAAATCAAGTTGTACTGAATTTCGCCGTCAACCAGGAGTTTTCATCGTTTCAAGTTGTTAAATGAACTCAAATAATTACACGAGCTTATGGAACTACATGTATTAGGAAGTCTTATGTGGTTTTCTTCGCGGTTTGAAGCAACATGAGAGGACTTAAAGCATGGAAATTTACTACAAGACGTAAGTCAGACACTTTTGTTTCTCGTTTGGTCATGTGAAATATTATATAATTCTTGTACGTATTCCGCTGGCGGGACAAGCGTATACATCATTTAAAAAGCTATCAGCAAATAGAAGGCTCCAGAATCCAAATCTTCCCCGAATAAGACAAGTTATGTGCTCTTATTGTTAGCGACTGCAGGGTGGTCAGATTGTGCGGTTTCTACTTATACTGTATAAAGCGTTATTAACTTTGCAGCGATGGTTAATTTGGGGGGATTATCTGAAATGTCTTTATAACAACTTACGAACTTACGTAGTAGAAGCTATCAGAACCGGATGTACTTATTACTTTCAATTTCTATGGTTTTTTAAACAAACTATCATTTATCCTGCCCGCTTACAAATGTTGATTAGCTCGATATGGATCTTGTAGTTAGCTCTTCAAGCTTCTTATATTTCCGTGTGCGTTTCTCTGGACTGTCGTGTATTTTTTCCCGCGCCTTTTAAAATAACCCGTGATCGACCACAAGCGAATCGCGTTTTGTATGGTGTAATCCATTACATGCTCTCTCAATTAGCTAATTGGTATGTCGCGGTATCTGTATTTTGTACAATGAAACGTAAGATTAGTTGTGAAGTGATCAGCTAAGTCATAAACTTAAAAAAATAAATAAATAAAAAAGTTCAGAGCATCTTAAATTGTTCGTGATTTCCGTCGCGGCCAAAGCTTTCCCTTGGTGATATTTTTTAAGGGTTTGTGAAGGGTATATTAATGTCATGAAAATCGCATACTTGGAGTAATTGAGTAAACTTACATCGAATCAGTTTCGCTGGTATGCGACTCTGTATTCGCTCTTAAAACTGTTCAAAGATGCGTCAATCTTGAGACGTGACGTGAGTAGTTGGTGTTTCGCTGTGTCGCGAAAATTCAAAGGAAAAGGAAAACTATATATTGCGCCATATTACTTAATTATTCTGGAAACAGGTTAACTTCTCTACTACAAGAACCGATTCAATTTGCTCACATTCAGCGATGTAACATCGTCCCAGAAGTTGCGTGATAGCTTTATGTATAGAACCGGTTCAATTCGCTCACATTCAACGATGTAACATCGTCCCAGAAGTTTGCACGATAGCTTTATATATAGAATTTCTCCATTGTTATTTACGTTATTTAACGTTTACTAGTTGTCTCTTTGTGTGCACGAGAACTGTATTAAACTATAATCCTGTGCAATTGTGATAAAAATGGTCATATATATCGCGCCCAGTGACAATGAAGAAATGAAAGTTCCTTTGCGTCGCGTGTCTGGATGGTGATAGCTGAATTATTTCGTTCCTGGCTAAATAATCTGAAATTGAGCTGTCTACTCGGAAGAACTTTGCTGTGGTGTTGCATAAAGGTTGAGTTGTGTGTTGTGCTGAATTAGGTAATTCTTTCGATTCTGCGAGTTCTTAACGCTTAGCAAAACAGGCAGCGCTGATGTAGAATTTCTCGAAAAATTTGATTTCATATCTGTTCGTTGTGCCTACTAAAAGGCGGTTCTAGGTTTTGAGTCGATCCGTAGCTGAAATATCTTAGTGTGATCATTCAATTGAAGTCCATTGAGGCATACTTTCTTGTCGTGCCGTTCAAGGTCTTTTCTTACTTTTGATTCTGTGGAGGAAATACTTAAGAGTGACCATTCAATTGAAAGCAACTGAGCAGTATTTTCCTGCGATACTGTTTATTATGCTGTACAAGGTGGTTCCAACTTCTGAGTCTGTGGATGAAATCCTTAAGTGTGACCATTCAAACGAAAGCTACTGAGCAGTACTTGGTTGTGGTGCTGTTTATTATGCTGTTCAGTGTGATTCTAACTTCTGAGTCTGTGGATGAAATCCTTATAGTTATGCACAGTACTTATAATTTTTGAGGCTGTACTTGCAGATGAAATCCTTAACCATGACTATTGACCGAAAAGTTACCGAGTGCTTTTCGCTGCTGCTGCTATCCCACAGGAATTAAAATTATGATAATGTTTGCCTTCAAGTCAGTTTTATCTTTGGAATACTAAAATTCTGAACTAAATGAGCCGAATGTGCGGAGGTATTTGCATTATATTCTTCGGGTGTTGCTTGTTGTCGGCAAGACAACAGACAGCGTATGAAAAAAAAAAATCTAAATTACCTGCATTATTTAACACCTTATTGCGAAATGTTAAGGACAGGACAGGAAAAAATAGTATCTGACGAACAAAAGAAAGAGGTCATTCCAAAGGCATTAGTCATAACTCTTTTTCATTTTGATTTCTTTGTGATCGGCAAACAGAGCCTTTGTTTTAGATTCCAATCCTTTTGTGCTTTTCATTTTCAGCGCATTAACAAGTATTAATTACGCGGTATTTTAGCTGCTTCAGCCTGTAGCTTGTAGTTGAGTGCCTGGCTAACAAACCTCTCAGGTGCATTCGTGACTCGATTGTGCGCGCCTATGATATGGACCGTTTGATTGATGACACACCCGATTGAGAGGAAGTACCATGCGCATTTTCTTACACCTAAGAGAATGACTCTCTCCTCTTCAAAGGCCTCTTAGTGTCGTAGGGAAGCTAGGGAGATGGAAAAACGAGAGTGCGCGGAGGACGATGGGAAGGGGAAAGAGAGGAGAGAGGCTCCCGCCTTTTCTCTCTTCCCATCGTCACCCGCGCGCTTTCTATTTCTTGATCACCGTATTTATTCGATTAACCGCTCGATTAAATTTTCACTATTTTCAGCAAGAGTAGTATGTTTTTTTTTTTTTTAACAAAACGCAAACATGTAACAAAGCAAGGTTTCTGTAAAACACTATGGAGAAAACCTCGTCATCGGGAAAGTCTGTTCTAGTAATTATTCAATTTTTGTGAGGATGGTAGGGGGAGGGGGTGGGGTTGGGCCCTTATTTGAGTTTGAGTGGTAGGGGGTGGGGTAGGGCGTTTATTAACTTTTTCTGCCTTTAGGATGGGCGCAAATTCGAGGTTGGGCGCTTATTCGAATAAATACCGTATTACCATTTTATTAGGATACCCAGCGGGAGCCTGTGCGGAGGAGAGTGCGAGTGTGACGACGGTGCTGTCATGGACCCGTGCACAACGATAAAGTACCCTGAACTTCCGCTTATAAGCCCTGGGCTTAAAAACTTCCCAAGGGGTTTTCAGAGGGTTTATAAACGGGGGGGGATATATCCATGGGCTTACAACTGAACTAAAAACGTTTTAAAACAAGATACATATCAGTGCTTGCCACAATACTTTTCGAATTTACTCGCTTTTTCGTTTTTCAAAGCTTCCAAACGTCGTAAAAAATTGATTTCATTTCAATAAAAGCTAGAGGGACGGCTTATAACAACAACAACCAACCAACCATTTTATTTGCCAATTCACAAGACGTTTACAAAACAGAATAAATTTAAATAGATCAGGCAAAAAACTTCTCAGAAAAGCAAAAAACTAAACGAGCTGAGTAGTTACAATTATAAAATTACATTCTATAGTGTTGCGACACTCGAAAGACGAGGAAAAATACTTTAAATTCAGGAGAAAAAATAATAGTAATGAAAAGCAAATAAATTAATTAATAAAAATAAAATAGAACAACACAAAACAAAACGGTACCAGGTAACTACAAAGTTTACATTAATAAGGGTAAGTCATATCTTGCTAGCAGAGTAAGTGGATAAGATTATTCCTAACAGAAGGACTAGAGAAGTGTAGATTAAATTTACCGTAATTAGTTCTAACCTGATCAATTTAATAAGTTGACTTTGATGCTAGCCTAGTACCGTACCGATGCTTAGATGATACAAGTGAAAAGAAGTTGTCAAAACAGCCTTAGGTAGTAGATTATGATGAAATTGAAACATAAAAACGGCATTATGAAGAGTCACTAGATCCCTGAGCCTGATTAATCCTATAACCGGATGTATTCTTTTGTTTACTTGTAGATAGGCCTGTAGCAAGGGAAGGCTTATAAGTAAGGGGGGAGGGGGGGGGGGCTTCGCATATCAAGGGACGCGTATTCAGGCTATGTTCACCCCCAGAGGGTGTACCCCCTTATATGGCCTTTACGGGGATGTCCCACTGGACAGAGTATGGTGTTTGTCCTGTCTGTCATAATCAGGGCATATAACATAACATAACATTTTATTAGCATTCCTATATACAGAAATGGAATTGCTTTTAAACTATGAAAATTTTAATTTTAATAATATTTAAAATAACCAAATAAACAGGTAGTATTAATTAAAAGTTATAAATAGAAATCTCTATTCCCATGCTTTTGTTTTAGGGAATAAAATTCTCTAAGTTTAAATGCTTCATAGGCATAGTATTGTTAAAAAAAAGTATAACGTTTTTACGACTTGTTCAAGTCTACGAATTTGCAGTACTTGGCTTCTACGTCTCGAAAAAACTGCTGTCTTAAATTGTTATATAAATTGCATTCAAATAGAAAATGAATGTCATTCTCTACTTTATTCGACGAGCAAAGCTGACATATCCTAAGGTTCTCAGGAATTTTGGGAAGATGGTATCTATCAGTTTCAATTCTTAACCTGTGATTACTTGATCGTAATTTTGCTGCTGCCTGGCGGTGCGTTTGGTTTTTAATAAGGTTGGAATATTCTGATCTGCTCACATCATTCTTAAAAGTGGAAGAGAAGTTCAATTTTTTGTAAGATCACAACATGTTCATTTGATCCTTTTTAAAGTAATCTATGATAGTCTGTTTTATTTTTGGCAGCCTCGGTTTAACTAATGTTGGCTCTTCAAGAATACTAGAGACCGTTAATTAGTAGAAGTGTTACAGTATAGTTTCATGAACTCTTGAAAGGACAGCATGAAAGACGGTTTTCCATTGTTTGCTAGTTAATTCGACAGTAAAAGGCATTGCTTTGCAGTACTAGTAAGATGTAACCAAAATTTTATGACATTAATATTAATTTTAGATTTAAGTGATAATCTTCCTGCTTCATTACGAGATCTAATGTTTGTAGCTCTTCTGTTTAGGCCGATAGAATGTTTGTAAAAATGTGTGTGAATTTTTTCAATGGGGTCTTTTTGCTATTTCTTAGCATCAGTTCTGTCATAAGCACCCCATACCTCAGAGCTGTACAGTAATATAGGAAGAAACAGGGCATCAATACGTTTATTGCATGCAGCAACTGGAAGATTGTTAAACTCAAGATAGCGTTTTGCACCAAATATTGATCTTCTTGTTTTCTCTGTAGATAATTGTTTGGAAATTGAGAAACTTCCATTTGAATTAAATATTATGCCCAGATAAGAGTATTCTGTGGAATTGGCGACTTGATTCCCATTTAGGAAGAAAGTGTATTTAGCCCGTGTTGATTTACCGTTTTGTTTCTGGAAGATGAGTGCTTTTGTTTTTTTAAGACATATTTTCAGTGACCATTTGTTGCAATCTTCATTTATGATATTAAGAAGAAATTCACGAGGAGATTGAGTAATTTTAATTCTCAGTGGACAAAAACCTTGTACCAGAATAATTAAAAGGATATTGCATTCTTTTTTACATTTTTCAAGGCCTAAAGATGTAATTAGTCACCTGTAATAAAACCAAAGAAAATTTCTAATAGGAGCCAGAGAAAATGATTGTCAAATTTCACAAAATTACATCATACACATGAAATTCTTGTGAAATTTGACATTCCTTTTCTCGGACTCCCATGGGAAATTTTCTTTGGTGTTATTACAGATGACTAATTACATCTTTAGCCCTTGAAAAATGTAAAAAAGAATGCAATATCCTTTAAATCATTCTGGTACAAGGTTTTTGTCCACTAAAAATTGAAATTACTAAATTTCCTGGTGGATTTCACCTTTAGTGCAATTTGGTGCAACTTGGGAGACAAGTATACGTGCTATATCTTCTAGATATAAGTTAGATAACAATGGGGAAATGATACATCCTTGTGGTACGCCTTTGTTATAGTTAAAGTAGTCGGTCCTCTTATTGCCATTTTTTATCGCACACTTTTTATCTTGAAAATATGTCGGCGATGAAATGATAAAACTTGCCACCTATTTTGTTGTCAAGAAGTTTATATAAAAGACCATTATGACATACCGAATCAAACGCTTTTTGAAAATAAAGAAACAGCAATATAATTTCGCGCGAGACTTTCCTAAATAGGGTATATAATTTCGTGCGAGTCTGTCCTAATTGTATACGGGGTATTGCCTGTACGGTTGATATGATTTTGGTAATGAAATTTCAGTTAGTACTCCAGTTATACAAAAGCAGTGACTCTAACGTGAATTTGCTCTATTGCCAATAAATGGTTCTAAAACAAGACGGCGGGCATTTTGTCCTTTGTCCTAGGCAGGGTAATGAAATTGAAGTGGTTGTCCTGAACAGGCTATGCATTTTAGGATGTTTTTGTCAGAAACATGGTCAGGGATTCTAACCCTCAGTGGCTCACCTATAACCAAACAACAAGTTCAGTTACAAGTTCAGTTAAGTTGCTTAATTAACCCCCTAAATTGTGCAAACACTTTGAAAACCTCTCACCATGTTGGACAAAACAGTCAAAACAATTTGCATGTGACATCATCCGTGTGTGTAGATCATGGGTAACGAACAATCACAGCACCCGTAGCATTCACCACGTGGTATAAATGTACATGAAATCACCTTCCTTATGAGCCACAATAATGGCGAAACAGCAGTCGACGGCCACATTCCCGCTCTGTTTTAGCATCTATCGGTGTCGTACTTATGTCTCCTACAGTTGATTTTGACGCAGAACGATCAGCTTTGCAGATTTCAATGTGTCTAAATGTACATATAATTAATACAGGGGAATTTATTTTCTCATTTAGTTCAAGATTGTGCCAACGTATGGCGTGGATTACGCGCCTAACCAATCAAGAGCGAGAAATGTTATTGCTCGACCAATCATCGTAGATTAAGAAAATGATGTTATTATTATGCCCTGTTTATCACCAAAAGTTCCCTAGTGATTAAGAATAAATTCCGTCTTTGGCAGCAAGTAATCTTTCAACTCTTAAGCAGAAGCCGGTGGCGGATCCAGAGGAGGGACCCAGGGGGCCCGCCCCCTATTTTTAGAACAAACTGAGGTCCCAAGGGCCGAAGAAATTTTTTTGAGACCAGGCACCCCTTATCTCAAGGTCTGGATCCGCCACTGGAAGCAATGAGAGACGGCCGGATGAATGTGTTCTCAGTAGGTAAATATAAATAAACCGCGCGGATTCGAGTTCTCCGCTTTGTAAACTCTCTCTACATGTTGTTCTATGATTATTATGAATTAGTTCATAGTATAATGCCGTTTCAAAGTTTTGATTGATAGAGGTAAGAGTGCATGAGCCATTTTTCCAAACCCGAGAAAAAAAAATGTCATTTCCTTACCATCTAGTCGCTCCTATTACATAAGAATTAGCAGAAGTTATCATGAATTTCCCTTGCCATTATATATGAAGTGTATTTCATCCACCCCAAGTACCTTCAGTGGGCGACAAAATTGTTAAGGCACTGTCATCAAATGATGTATAGTTTGAAGAACAAAAAAATCTACACCCCTCCACCACACCTTTATTCAACGTTGGGGGAGTTTGTTGTTTCTTACAGGTAGCCTGAACAGCGGCACAACGTTACTTAGAGGGGGTGGGGAGGGGGTGGCGAGGAAAAGCTTTATTTTCCCTTTTGAAGTCGGCAAAACGCGAGAAACGATACAGCATTGTAATCTACACCATCCAAAATATAACAGATACTACGCAACTCTTAAAAACCTCTAATTTCATTAGTTCCTTATATCACGCAGCTCCATTGCTGCATCCAAAACACTGACAATCCATTTGACGCTGCAGCATTTAATCGAATTAATACGGTATACATAACCCCCTCAGGATAATTAGGTATTCCCACGTTGAAAACGTTAAAGGAAAGACGTGTGCGACTTTCCTGCAAAAAAAAAAGTTTTAAATCAAAGGAAAACAGTAAAATACAACTGAATATACAATTACCAATAAAGGTATAACTAAATAAATACATGTATCACTGTTGTAATCTGACATGTCATCAAAGCAATCTCTATTTTTTAAGGATATTTCTGTTTCCTTGACAGCCTCTGTAACCCTTTCCGCTGTTGCCTCACTGTTATTCTCATGGCTCAGTCTGGTAGGATTGTTCACGATCGGATTCATAAAGACTGCGGAAGGACAATCAACGAACAATATTCTCGCAACAACATTACTATTCCAACCAAGTACAACAAATTGGGAAGAACCACTTACTATAATAAGAAACTCAAACACTATACCATACACTACAACTAGTGTGTTGACCAATCCTTCAGCCTCCACATCGCCCAGTGTATCGCCAAGTGTCTCGGACTCCACCTCTGCTAGCGTATCAGCCAGTGTGTCGACCAGTGCTTCGGCGTCCACATCACCCAGTGTAACGCCAAGTGTCTCGGCCTCCAGCTCTGCTAGCGTGTCAGCCAGTGTGTCGACCAGTGCTTCGGCCTCCAAATCACCTAGTGTGTCGCCAAGCGTCTCGGCCTCTACCTCTGCTATCGTGTCAGCCAGTACGTCGACCAGAGCTTCGGCATCCACATCGCCGAGTGTGTCGCCAAATGTCTCGTCCTCCAGCTCTGCTAGCGTGTCAGCCAGTGTGTCGACCAGTGCTTCGGCCTCCACATCGCCCAGTGTGTCGCAAAGTGTTTCGGCCTCCACTTCTGCTAGCGTGTCAGCCACAGTGTCGACTAGTGCTTGGGCCTCCACATCGCCCAGTGTATCGCCAAGTGTCTCTGCTTCCACCTCTGCTAGCGTGTCAAGCAGTGTGTCGACCAGTACTTCGGCATCCGCATCGCCCAGTGTGTCGCGAAGTGTCTCGACCTCCACTTCTGCTAGCGTGTCAGCCAGTGTGTCGACCAGTGCTTCGATCTCCACAGCGCCCACTGTGTCGCCAAGTGTCTCGGCCTCCACCTCTGGAAGCGTGTCAACCAGTGTGTGGACGAGTGCTTCGGTCTCGACATCGCCCAGTGTGGCGCCAAGTGTCTCGGCCTCCACCTCTGCCAGCGTGTCAGCCAGTGTGTCCACCAGCGTTTCAGCCTCCACATCGCCCAGTGTTTCGCCAAGTATCTCGGCCTCCACCTCTTTTAGCGTGTCAGGCAGTGTGTCGACCAGTGCTTCGGTCTCGACATCGCTCAGTGTGTCGCCAAGTGTCTCGGCCTCCACCTCTGCCAGCGTGTCAGCCAGTGTGTCCACCAGCGTTTCAGCCTCCACATCGCCTAGTGTTTCGCCAAGTATCTCGGCCTCCACCTCTTTTAGCGTGTCAGGTAGTGTATCGACAAGTGCTTCGGACTCGACATCGCCCAGTGTTTCGCCAAGTTTCACGGCTTCCACCTCTGCTAGCGTGTCAGCCAGTGTGTCGACCAGCGCTTCGGTCTCAACATCGCCCAGTGTATCGCCAAGTGTGTCGGCCTCCACCTTTGCTAGCGTGTCAGCCAGTTTGTCCACTAGTGTTTCAGCCTCCACATCACCCAGTGTTTTGGGAAGTTTGTCGGCCTCCTCCTCTGTTAGCGTGTTAGCCAGTGTGTCGACCAGTGCTTCAGTCTCGACATCGCCCAGTGTGTCGCCAAGTGTCTCGGCCTCCACCTCTGCTAGCGTGTCAGCCAGTGTTTCGACCAGTACTTCGGTCTCGACATCGCCCAGTGTGTCTCCAAGTTTCTTGGCCTCCACCTCTGCCAGCGTGTCAGCCAGTTTGTCCACCAGCGTTTCAGCCTCCACATCGCCCAGTGTTTTGGAAAGTTTCTCGGCCTCCTCCTCTGTTAGCGTGTCAGCCAGTGTGTCGATTGGTGTTTCAGCCTCGACATCGCCCAGTGTGTCGCCAAGTGTCTCGGCCTCCACCTCTGCTAACGTGTCAGCCAGTGTTTCGACCAGTACTTCGGTCTCGACATCGCCCAGTGTGTCGCCAAGTGTCTCGGCCTCCACCTCTGCCAGTGTGTCAGCCAGTGTCTCGACCAGCGTTTCAGCCTCCACATCGCCCAGTGTTTCGCCAAGGGTATCGGCCTCTACCTCTAATAGCGTGCCAGCCAGTGTGTCGACCAGTGCTTTGGTCTCGACATTGCCCAGTGTGTCGCCAAGTGTCTCGGCCTCCACCTCTGCCACCGTGTCAGCCAGTGTGTCCACCAGCGTTTCAGCCTTCACATCTGCTAGTGTTTCGCCAAGGTTTTCGGCCTCCACCTCTGCTAGCGTGTCAGCCAGTGTTTCGACCAGTACTTCGGTCTCGACATCGCCCAGTGTTTCGCCAAGTGTGTCGGCCTCCACGTCTCTTACCGTGTCAGCCAGTTTGTCCACCAGCGTTTCAGCCTCCACTTTGCCCAGTGTTTCGCCACGTTTCTCGGACTCCACCTCTGCTAGCGTGTCAGCCAGTGTGTCGACCAGTGCTTCGGTCTCGACATCTCCCAGTGTGTCCCCAAGTGTTTCGGCCTCCACCTCTGCCAGCGTGTCAGCCAGTGTGTCCACCAGCGTTTCAGCCTCCACATCGTCCAGTGTTTCGGCAAGTTTCTCGGCCTCAACCTCTGCTAGCGTGTCAGGCAGTGTGTCTACCAGTGCTTCGGTCTCGACATCGCCCAGTGTGTCACCAAGTGTCTTGGCCTCCACCTCTGCCAGCGTTTCAGCCAGTGTGTCCGCCAGCGTTTCAGCCTCCACATCGCCCAGTGTTTCGCCAAGTTTTTCGGCCTCCACCTCTGCTAGCGTGTCAGCCAGTGTGTCGACCAGTGCTTCAGTCTCGACATCGCCCAGTGTGTCGCCAAGTGTGTGGGCCTCCACCTCTGCTAGCGTGTCATCCAGTTTGTCCACCAGCGTTTCAGCCTCCACATCGCCCAGTGTTTTGGCAAGTTTCTCGGACTCCACCTCTGCTAGCGTGTCAGCCAGTGTGTCGACCAGTGCTTCAGTCTTGACATCGCCCAGTGTGTCGCCAAGTGTCTTGGCTTCCAGCTGTGCTAGCGTGTCAGCCAGTGTTTCGAGCAGTACTTCGGTCTCCACATCGCCCAGTGTTTTGGCAAGTTTCTCGGACTCCACCTCTGCTAGCGTGTCATCCAGTGTGTCGGCCAGTGCTTCGGTCTCGACATCGCCCAGTGTGTCGCCAAGTGTCTCGGCCTCCACCTCTGCCAGCGTGTCAGCCAGTGTGTCCACCAACGTTTCAGCCTCCACATCATCCAGTGTTTCGCCAAGTTTTTCGGCCTCCACCTCTGCTAGCGTGTCAGCCAGTGTGTCGATTGGTGTTTCAGTCTCGACATCGCCCAGTGTGTCGCCAGGTGTGTCGGCCTCCACCTCTGCCAGCGTGTCAGCCAGTTTGTCCACCAGCGTTTTAGCCTCCACATCGCCCAGTGTTTCGCCAAGTGTCTCGGCCTCCACCTCTGCCAGCGTGTCAGCCAGTGTGTCCACCAGCGTTTCAGCCTCCACATCGCCCAGTGTTTCGCCAAGTTTCTCGGCCTCCACCTCTGCTAGCGTGTCAGCCAGTGTGTCTACCAGTGCTTCGTTCTCGACATCTCCCAGTGTGTCGCCAAGTGTTTCGACCTCCACCTCCGCCAGCGTGTCAGCCAGTGTGTCCACCAGCGTTTCAGCCTCCACATCGCCCAGTGTTTCGCCAAGTATCTCGGCCTCCACCTCTGCTAGCGTGTCAGGCAGTGTGTCGACCAGTGCTTCGGTCTCGACATCGCCCAGTGTTTCGCCAAGTGTTTCGGCCCCCACCTCTGCCAGCGTGTCAGCCAGTGTCAATTTCGTTTTAGTTTTTATTTGCATATATTTTTCTTCTTACCAAATTCCTTAAGACAAGTGCTGAAGTAATAAATTTAAATATGCTGTTGCAACTAATGTTAACGGCGAGATAATAAAACTCTATCAAATAAACAAAAAATAAATGAATAAAAAATAAATACTTAAATAAATATGTCGTTAAATAAATGAATTAATTATTGAATGCTCAAGTGCCGTCCATAACCTGATTTTGGCAGACTGGGGGAGCTTAACATTTACGCAAACCACCCGGGTGGCAATTTTTGTAGAGATACATTTAATTATCGCTATTTGTAATAACTTGTTATTCATAGTGTAACAAATAACTAGCATATAACGTAATTTCAAATTATTTGGAACACGGTTGATGTAGCAGTTGTTATAAGACCCCAAATAAAATATTGTCTAATGTCAGGCTTCTATCTAGGATATTTGAGGGGTAGAAGCTTCCTCCCCAAAATGCCTAGCTTCCCCTCAAACAATGTTATCATTACAATATATAAGTAACTATATCGGAAAAATCATCCAGACGCTACGAGGTCAGTGCACAGGAAGTAAATATTCCCTTTCTAAGGACACTCTGAACATGATCACGACAAGAAAATAAAATATAATACCACTGTATCATTTCCCAAAATTGTGTCTCAAAATGCACCAGATTTCATCTCGGCGCGTGTTCATTTCAAAAAATTTCTGGTGGTCATGCCCCCGGATGCCGCTAGTAAACTCGTGGCCTTCGGCCACTTGGAACTAATCTCCCCCAAACGATATATCCTAGATAGAACCCTGAATGTCTATTGCCTATATACACTCGAATCTCTCTTAGCGGACACCTCCAGTATAAGAAAGACACTTCTGTAAAACGAACACCTAGAGCTGGTCCCTGCCTTTTTTTACTCCCCTTATTTGACTCTCTCCTATAAGAAAGACACCTCTATAAGACGGCCACCTCTGTAAAACGGACACCTAGAGTTGGTTCCTGCCTTCCTTTACTCCCTTCATTTGACTCTCTATAAGACGGACACCCCTGTAAAACAGACACCTAGAGTTGGTCCCTCCGTTTCTTTACTCCCTTTATTTGACTCTCTATAAGACGGACACCTCTGTAAAACGGACAGCTAGAGTTGGTCCCTGCGTTTCTTTGGTCCCTTTATTTGACTCTCTATAAGACGGACACCTCTGTAAAACGGACAGCTAGAGTTGGTCCCTGCGTTTCTTGACTCCCTTTATTTGACTCTCTATAAGATGGACATTCCTGTAAAACAGACACCTGGAGTTGGTCTCTGCCTTTCTTTGCTCCTTTTATTTGACTCTCTATAAAACGGACATCTTTCTAAGACGGACACTTAGTAACGGTACTCATGGTGACCGTCTTAGAGAAAGTTGATTGTACTGAGCTTTTCCGTTTTCCTCTTTCAACGAAGTATGTAGCCTCCAACGTGGGCGTTTTTAGGGGAGCTCATATTGGATCAATTTAGGTTTCTGGTGAACTGACCACCTTCCCCTCCCCTAAGTCAACATTATCACTTACTTCTCACTTAGGGCAAAATGTTGGCTTAGGAGAGGGGTAGGTGCGCAGTTTCCCAGAAACCCTAGTATTTCGTCCCTCCCCACAGAGGAGGGGAGAGACGAAATACGTCTGCCTGGGAGGCTACGAAGTATGCCAAAGGGTTGCTTCTCTGCTCCAGTGACGAGCGCGACGTGGCTCTTCAACCTCTTTTAAGTAACCTACCGGGAAGCCCCTCATTTTCCTAGGGAATAGTAGAACAAGAGAAGTAAATGATAAATAATGCGTAAACGAATAAATAGATTAAAATAACTAACGTTTTATAAGAACCACATCCACAGATCTTCAATTGAATTTGTATTTCCCCTATTCGCATTATCTTCATTCCATAAATAATATATTATCATAATTAACGATTTAGCAGTAGCACATCCCCAGATCTTCTATTGAATTTCTATTACCCCTGTTCACATAATCTTCACTCTATGAATAAATAAATTGTCATAATTAAGGATTTAGTTGTAGCACATCCTCAGATCTTCAATTCAATTTGTATTTCCGCAGTTCACTTTATCTTCATTCCATAAATAAAGACATCAACACAATTAACGATTTATCAGTAGCACATCAACCGATCTTTAATTTAAAAAAGTTTGTATTTGCGCAGTTCACATTATCTTCATTTTATTATTACATCATGGAGTTTTATGTGACGAGTTTTTTTAAAGAGTTTTATCGAGCCGTTCCTGCGATAATAAATAACAAACAAATGAATAAATAAATTCAATAAATTAATAACTGACGATTTAGTACCGTCAACTCTTTCTAAGGCGGACCCCTTGGGAACCGGCACTGAGTGTCCATCTTAGAGAGGTGTCCGTCTTATAGAGAGTCAAATAAAGGGAGTAAAGAAAGGCAGGAACTAACTCTAGGTGTCCGTTTTATAGAGGTATCCGTCTTATAGAGACTCAAATAAAGAGAGTAAAGAAAGGCAGGGACCAACTCTAGGTGTCCGTTTTATAGAGGTATCCGTCTTATAGAGGCTCAAATAAAGAGAGTAAAGAAAGGCAGGGACCAACTCTAGGTGTCCGTTTTATAGAGGTATCCGTCTTATAGAGACTCAAATAAAGAGAGTAAAGAAAGGCAGGAACTAACTCTAGGTGTCCGTTTTATAGAGGTATCCGTCTTATAGAGACTCAAATAAAGAGAGTAAAGAAAGGCAGGGACCAACTCTAGGTGTCCGTTTTACAGAAGTGTCCGTCTTATTGAGAGTCAAATAAAGAGAGTAAAGAAGGCAGGGACCAACTCTAGGTGTCCGTTTTACAGAAGTGTCCGTCTTATAGAGAGTCAAATAAAGAGAGTAAAGAAGGCAGGGACCAACTCTAGGTGTCCTTTTGACAGAGTTGTCTGTTAAGGGAGAGTCGGCTGTAGCCCCTTTAATAATAGTAGCAAAAAGGAGTGATTACTTTACTTCATAGTCTAGGCCAGTCTGTATAGAAAAAAACTGTGTCCTAGCTAAGTACGGCCCGAGACCGAACTGAAGACCTCGGGCAAAGTTTTTCCCATACGAACCTCTTGGCCGACAAATAACATATAATTATGTACTTAGGAATTCGAATTTGTAGTTTAAAATTTAATAACCATTGTTGGTAAATATTGAAATGCTAAGCGTGAACTTCTCTAGTTTGCCCTACGAAATTCTTGGAAATTCAGCACTTATTGAATAAGATTACGTGTTTAATTATCTCCTCACAAATGTTGTCACTAGTTTTTTTAACCCGCCTGAGTAAACTATGTTAAATGACATCAAAAGACGTTAACTGCATTTGTTTAAAGCAATTCAAGTGAGTAATTGCGCCGATTGGTACAAGGCAGACTTCAACTGATCCGCAAGAGTTATTGTGTTTTTCAATTACAACCTGCATCTGTCAGATTATGTTAGCTTGCAGAACGTATTCCTTGTCATTTTATTTGCCGTCTGCATGGCGTATGTAATTTGGTTTGCTTTCTTTGTTTGTTTTTCAATGCGAATTCAATTTTTATTGCATAAGTTATACCAGCAAATTTCCTCTTAATAAACCTAAGGAAGTGTACATCTTTGATCGGGGACACTTGCAGCTTTTAAAGTTACAAATATATGAGTTGTAAGTGTGTATAATTTTGGAAAGCCTGCCCTGAAATTTGCTCACAAAGGATCTGAATTCTATTGGAAAGCAGTAATGTTTAGGTGTAAATACGATTTTGCCGACCAAAGTTTCGACCAAAGTTTCGAACGTTAATCTAATTTTCTTCTCCGTGCGAACGGATCATAGTTTCCGTCCAATTTCGCTGTTCTATTGTCTGTTTGTTTAACAAAATAAATTGTTTGCGGGGTGGGTTTGCCTTAAGCTCCTGAAATGTGGGAACATTTTTTAACACCGCCAAGAAATGCTTTGAGAGCGGAAAAACAACTACAGTGATATCTTTAAGTTGCGAGTTCGTGAAAGCGCGTGTCAACCGCAAAGATTACCTGCCAAATTATTACCTATGACTCATAATTTAAACGTCTACTTTGAGGGAGGGGTGGGTGGATAGTGTATGTAGCATTTTCAAGACTCTGTATACCCCTAAAATGTATATAGGGACATCATATGACAGGTTGCAACCGCAAAAGACTATAAACTATTAAAATATGTACCTGAAATACGGCTGGTTTTACTGAACCACTGAATGTTAAATATTTAATCAATATGCTAGTTTTTGCGCTTGCCGAATTAAAACTCTTAATCGATTTCCATTTGAACGAATGTAGTCTGTTCATTTAAAAAAGCAGCTTCACCTGAATACTATGGCGGGGAGACGGTTTTCGCTTTTTTTTTTGAAGTTGCAGCTGCAGTAATTATCGGAGCGTTCGCGTGGCGATTGAGATAATATTCTTCCTTATGTAAACTAATCGATTGCTACCTTTGACAAGCGTCTAAATATGTCTGTTTATTTCCAAACAGTCGAATATCATTAATGTGCATACAGAAACAACTTCCACGGGGCATAAACCTTCTTTTTTGTATTTGTATTTGTCAGTGTAGGAGGGAGTTTTCGCTCCTTGAGTATGACAACGCAGAACTGTATTGTGCATTGTTATTTTTTGCAAAACAAAACGTAAAGCCAGTGGAATGTGATACAAAGTATTCCACTGAGATTTGAGTTGCAAGAATAATTACTCGAGTATTTTGGTTTTATTGTCCCTTATAAACTTTTGCCGCGATCGATCAGTGCTTCGAAGTTCGTGGAATGCGCTGTAAATGAACTTCAGTTGAGGCGTTGTGTGCGAGGAAGCCGAAATCAAGTTGTACTGAATTTCGCCGTCAACCAGGAGTTTTCATCGTTTCAAGTTGTTAAATGAACTCAAATAATTACACGAGCTTATGGAACTACATGTATTAGGAAGT